CTCCTCGTCTCCACTCACACACAGGTAGCGGTGAGTGTGTGAGGGTGTATGAGCAGGTCTGAGTGCACTGTGTGTCTGGCAGCGGTGTGTGAGTTAATGGCTATCACACACACGCGCTTCATCCATCGCTCTCAATGAACGCTTTGTCCAGTTTCTGCTCTAAAAACAGACTGTGATCGACATGGCCTGAAAATCACATGTCAGAGATGACTGAACAGAAACCCGCTCACATTTCTGACATTATTAACAAGGACATAAATGCACTACTTCATGCAGTGTGTGGTATCTCCGTATCTGAGTTTGTTGGAATAGTTTAAAGTGATGGTTTGGTAAAAAAATTTAATTTACTCCCCCTTTTTCTTACTGAAAATGTAGCAGATCAAAATTTTAAAAGTGGCAAATATGTAAGAAACCCAAAAGGAAGCTGCACCCAAAATCACTTTCCATCAAATTCAAATGAATCAAAATCAAATTTTCTACTTACAAACACTAGTGGTATGGAAAATTTGGAACTTTTCCACCTGTTTCAGCTTGTTTCTTCTGTTTTTCTTCATATTTTGCTTAGTTAAAGCTGCGCTATGTACGTTTTTGGGATTTGAAGACCTCTCTGGTGGAAATGTGTAATTGCACACAACATACATTATGTGGCGAGGGTTGTGCTTCGGACCCCTTCCCCGAGCGGATGAATCTGCTGATTGAAAGAGAATTCAAAGAGAACTCACTCTAAACTTGGTGACGGACGCGTCTTCTGAGGATGTCAGTAAATTGTCTACTATTGTCATTGTATTTTCATCAGTATAATGTGGATTTGAGATCATTTGAGACCTAAACATTGAGCCAGAGAGTCTGTGTGTGACGTTAATACGTAAAGACGTACAACATGGTGTGAAAAACTCAGTGCCTCTGACTTTTAAATGATTATTTCAGACTTTACAGGGCGACTCACAGCGGCACACACTCACCATATTTTAGCCTGTTTGTATTTTCCTCACTCAGTAATGGCAAAATGTGATTATCAGAACTGGGTCTTCAATTTATGATATAAACGTCAGTCAAAACATGAGGAAAACCCCTACCTTATTGAATATGCTAAATTCTGCTAGCACCCCTATGGGATTGTACTAGTTTGTCAGTGCTAAGCTAATGGCGACAGACATTTTAAGCTTCTAAAGGACATTCTATGTTTTACTTCAACCTTATGACAGACATATTAGCATATATTTTACATTGTAGCAGTTTTTGGCTCAGTAAAGAACTCTATAATAGAGCTAAAGCAGCTGTTTTCCATTTCTAACAATGCTCTGGTAAGGCTGCCGCATGTATTCAGTTTAGGACTAGGACTTGCAGAACGCCTTGAGTGGTGTTTGTAGGACTTCCAAGAATTTAACCATTTATTTTCCATCAACACGTAGGAACAAAGCAAGAGTAACACTCTAATATCGAAAAAAAATTAACTAAAAGTTACAGACATGCATTTTTTAGTGGCCAGTAATCACTGGGCCTTCTCTGAGGGCCTAGACGGCCCTGAGGGATCCCCTCTGGTGGTCAGTATGTTATGTCATACAGTGTGTGCATTCACCAAGACAGAACCCAAAAAGGGGTTCTTTGGAGCAACGCCATGGAAGAATCACCTCCCTGAGGAACCTTCCAAAGGTTGTTTTCTAAAGAACCATGTTTGTAAATGAGATGTGTCAGAATGATCCTCCACATAATGATGAGGTTCTACACCAGTCAAAGCCAAGAACAACTGACGAACCTTATGTTTAGTAGTGTGGTATACATTAAGATCTTGCACAGTCTGGTTTTTGCAGCAGCTCAGAAGGTGAAGCAGGTTCACACTGCTGGAAAATCCTGAGACTGATGAAACAGAGGCATTCCTTTAGTCCAGACTGAGTCAGAGATGTGTTTGGTCTGGACTTTAGGTGGAGGTCACACTGCGGGGTGTGTGTTCCTCACCTTACACACTCCGCTCTTTGGTTTCCTGATGAACTTCTCAGCCAAAAAACACAGTGACTCCAGTAAAAAATGCAGTTCCTTGTTTTTTTCTCCTCCATCTTTAGATACAGCACTGTTCAAAAGTTTGGACACACCTGTTTTATAAACGTTTGCTTTATTTTTTACTATTTTCAACATCTTAGATTGACAGTGAAGACCATTACATTATGAAAGAACATGTGGCCAAAAAGTGTTGATGCAGCTTTACACGTTCTCAGCTTCATGAGGAGCCACCTGAGATGATTTTTCTAACATCATGTTGGTGCAGTCATATAAAAAACCTGTTTCTCAAACATCTTGTAATAAAAGGATGGATAGAAATTGTAAATATTTATAATAAAATTTCTGTAATAAAATGTTCTGTACAAAAATGTACATAAAATTAATGCAAAATGTTTTTTTCATTAAAAGTGTTTGTTTTAGAAATAAACACATCCATTGGAATCAACACTGCTACCTAAAATTGTCTTAAAAAACTATTTTAAGCATTTAAGCAAAAGCCTTTAGACCACATTGTCTTTAAAGGGCATATCATGGAAAACCTAAGTAGCTTTTTCAGCAGTGAAAGAGTCAGTACTATATAATCATTATTAAAAATATCAAAACACATCATTCATTCCTCGGTCCATACAGTCCTTATATGAAAACGCTACACAAAAGCTAGCATGTATGTGATGTCAGCCTGTTTAATTGTTAGGGATAAAGAGAGGCTGAAAAGGGTCATGTAAAAGTGATTTATGCTGGTTGTGGTACATAAAACTACATAAAGTATTATATGTGGACCTCAGGGAAATAAAAAAATTAGAAAAATGCAGAGTGTGGGCTCTTTAATGTTATGAAAAGCATACATTCAGTCAGGTGTGTCCAGACGTTTGTCTGGTGCTGTGTTTAGGTTAAAACTTGCTTCCTTTACGTCTGGCAGCTCATTTCAGGAGCTGTGAGACCACCACATTCCTCCAGCCTCACGCTTCACAGTCTGGGTTTCATTTACACCCCCCCCCTCGTCCCCTGCCCACCGTGATGGCTAGTGTGGTCAGTTGGAAACACTCCCCTTCCCTGCATTACTGCTAAAATAAGGCCTTTAAAACGTTCCTTTGAGCTGATGCCATTGCAGGGAAAAACAACCCCCTTGTTTTTTATGGTGAACATTTCTGGACGCACGTAGGCTGTAGGGTCCTTCAGCGGACGCTCAGACAGACATGCTCATTTTATATGGGCATTTATTAGTTTTATAATAAAAACTGAATAATTCACATTAGTTACTGAATCATAGTAGATACTATTCAAATTCAAATAGACAAAATAAAAGACAGTTTACGACTAGATAACATTTATGTTAAACACTCACATTAGTTATTAGTTACATAGCATATAAACTAACATTATAACAAGCATAAAGCACAGCAAGGACAAAATACATTTACAAGAAAATGAGGTAGATATATGTGTGTATAGAGTGCTGTATGAAGGCGAAAGTATGCCCCGTTCTGCTGCAGCGTGTGAGGAATGTGCCATAGCCTGGTGGTCTAAGAGCAGTGAACTATAGGACATGTGAGACTGGGCTTATTCTTTTCAGAGGTCAGAGAGCGCGGCCTATGTCACCTCACTGTCCATCAGTAAAGATAAAGGCAGACGTAGCGTTCACTGTTGTTTTGCTTTGAGATTGTTTATCCAAAGAGGGGGCCACCCAGTGTACTCAGTGTACAATGCTCTATTACCTAATCTGTCACATCAACAAAGTTCTCTAAAATCCTCCAAACACTATTGCCTTTTGTGAGTCAGTTGTTAGTTTGACCCCAGTTTTTAAGACCTTGTAATATGTGAGCTTTGGTTTATGCTCCCTTAGCCTTTTTTCCTGGTCATGTGTTCTGTTCTTCATAAAACATGTCCAGGTTATTTATGGTCACAGTTTATGGAGGCGACTATGAGATGTGATGTCATTAAAGCTCGATTCACAGGTTTGAGAAATTTTAATGGGTAAAATTAATAGTTTGGCAGAAAAAGCTGCACCGTTTTCCTGTCATCTATAACAATGTACAAACTTCAGGCCACTATTGTGTCTAGCTTTGTCTGTGTTTATAGATATGTCTTAAGAATAACTCTAGTTTGCATTGAAGTCCCTGTAGTTACTGAATAATAAGCCTTAGTATGTAATGAACGTGGGATTTTAAGGGGTTAAAGGGCCCATATCCTACATTTTTTATTTTTCTTTGGTCCTTCTGGAATTTCTGTGGCCATAATTGATTTTCTCACCTTACTTTATCCCTTACAAATAAACTGTTATAATAAACCTGTTTTTGTTACTGTGTTTTTAAAGGTGATGTGTGTAAATTACCTCTGTTCTGATTGGTTGCTGCACTTAGTGCCTGCAAAAAGCACTCAGAGCTGAAATGCTGCCTTAAACCTTACTATGAATAGGCAGGGCTAAACTGCTGTAGGCTGAATATGGATATATGTAAATAAGTAGGATATATAAAAATTTGACAGAGGTGGTGATAGGAACCAGTGGTCACCATGACTACAACACAAATATAGACATTTTATTTACTGTCCAAAACCACCAGTAACCCAACACGTGTCTTCTGAGTTTTATATGGAATGTTGATGATTGGAAAATAGGGGAAAATCTGAAATAACAAGTTTTGTTTTGCCTCACATCAACCTGCATGTAGCAATCCAACATGAATGGATTTTAAAACTACATTTTAGGCCAAAACCTTCTCAAAAACTGTTGTAAAACAACATAAAGGAAGCATATTGTAATAACTTTTCTTATAGACAGATGATTTTTGTGTTTTGACACGTTTTCTACTCAAACATGTCTTGGCTGATTCATAAATTCAACCTTTTGCAGAAATGTTCCTTGAGAGTTTTTCTGCTTGTGTTAATGAGCTTGAAGAATGAAATAATCAACGTGAAGTTGTAAGATGCATCTGTTTGCCCTGGAACTGAAACAATCAGGGTTAACCTTTATTGAAATGTTATCTATTGATCTTCTCTCTCAGACTCTGGATGTGCAGGTGGAGGATGTGCGTATCCGGGCGACGTATTCCCAGCGCAAACGTGTTCCCATCACAGAGGGCTTTGTGGAGCTGAAGGATGCTGGGAAATGGAGGCAGATTTGTGATGAGGATTGGAACATGATGAACAGTCGTGTTGTATGTGGCATGTACGGTTTTCCTGGAGTGAAGGGCTTCAACAACAGAGCCTACAAGTAAGTGTTTCCTTTGCTCTAACACAGGGGTCCCTAAACTTCTTTACTCCAGGACCCACATGTAGAGGTACTGTTTGTTCTGAGACCTACCCATTGTGTAAAGTAAGATACGACTTATGGTGTTGGTGGGAAGCCTAGTGGTAGGAGAAATGAGCCAGCAACCAGGGGGTTATGGGTTCAAATTCCAGGACTGTCTGGCTATTCCTGGTTGTGCCATTGGTGACCTTAACACCCCTACCCCACCCCCCACTGCTCCAGGGGGTGCTGCTCTACATGTGATGCTGCGCTGTTCCCAGACTGGACATAGCTAGCTGAGAGTGTGCAGTGGGGAGAATTGCCACTCAGTAATGTCTTTCAGGTTGGTCAGACACTAGAGGGTGCTCCTGAGCAAGTGAATGGGCTCCTTTGGAGCTTTTGTGCAAAATTGTAGTTTGTAAATGTTCAGTACTATTTTATATATAAAATACACCAACTATTGGAATATAGAACAGTATCAAATCTTGACAAAAGTGTCAAATCTTTTACGTCTGTTACAAAAACTTTATGGTTATCATCTGCTTTAGCAGGTCAGTGCAGTTGTGTGTCATCAGCAAAGCAGTGCAAGCTAATGCCATATTTATAAAGAACTGCAGTCAGTGGCAGTAATTGTGGTTGTACTATTGAAAATAGTAGTGGTCCTAGAACAGAGCCCTGTGGGACACCATACTTAATTTTTGTATGTATAGAACCTTTTACATGCATAAACTGATATCAGCCAGTCAGGTAGGATTGAATTAAGGAAGCAAGGTAATTTAAGGACTAGTTTACATGTGGGGGTGGATAAAATGACAATATTTTCTGAACATATCGGTGATATCGTCAGTACTTAAAGAACAGTAAGTACATGTGAAAGTATGTATTTCATTGCAAAGTGAGAGTTAGACAGTTAGGCCTGTTTAATTCGAGTTTGTGCAATACAATATTATTATTATTATTATTATTATTATTATTATAGTATTATACTGTGTGGCCCTACAGGTTCTAGTTTGTCTGTAAAACCTTACCATATCTCAGAAAAATGAAATGTTGTAATGCATAGTGTGTATCATGATCGTGATATAACATTTTGCTATATTATCCAGCTCAATTTACATGAAATTTTTGTTGTAAAATGCACCATACAAGTAAAATTAAAATGGACCGAACTGATTAGTTTACTATTTAAATTGGGTGTATAAACTGTATGCAAAAGTATAACTTGCACCTGCATTGCATTAAAGTTATTAACTTAATCTTTTTCTTTGATTTAATCATACGTCCAAAACTGTATACTGCCATTCCAGACAGTACTTCAAAATGAGAGGTTTTTGATGCAGCTCTTGTGATTAAATTTGAGTCCGACCTGAAAATGCACCTTTGTAGACATAATGAAGCTGAGATGATCACTTTCCATTTATTAGCTGCTCCAACATTCCTTTCCCCTCATTTTTCTTCTGAAGTATAAAAACAACACAGACTCCCTGTCATTGAAATATGCAGTTCTGGGCTAAAAGACTGGCACTGAATGGAATGTAATACTGTAATTTTTCAAATCATCATTTGAAATATGAGAAATATTCAGGTGTGTGGTGATGCGCTGCTGCAGATCAAGAGATTAAATGAGCCTATAAGGGGTGAGAGAGTGCAAACGTTTCCTCACAAGCCAGAAAAGACAAGTTTAATAGAAACCAGATTGTCAGATGGATGCGAGTGTGTGGGGTCTGTTTGGCTTCCATCTAACCTTAAAATAACATTTATGCACCATTTAGACACTGAGAATGCACTTAGAATGAACTTTAGTCCATGTTTATAGATAGCACAATAGTCTTTTTCCACGTTTTCCAAATATTCCTAAATCAGTGTGAGTGGATGTGCCGGCTTTGCTGTAATCAGATTTGTTTTGTTTTGTTGTGTTCCTCCCAGGCTGCTATCTCAGCGCAGGAAGAAGAATTACTGGGGTTTCTCGGTGAACTGCACGGGGAACGAGGCACACTTGTCCTCCTGCAGGATGGGTAAAGCGCTGAAGCTGGTGGGGAACAGTACATGCGCCCGTGGGATGCCCGTGGTGGTCAGCTGTGTTCCGGGCAGAGCTTTCGCCCCCACACACTCCGCCGGCTTCAGGAAGGCCTACAGACCCGAGGTACAACACCAACAAACACAAACACACAATGTAGCCTGCACTAAAATACACTATATTCATCATTGTTCTCTAAATGTATCACAAAAAAAAATCATAACACAACACAAGTGCATGGGAGCACTGCAGCGGGAATTAACCTGCACAAAGACTGGACAAGAGAGACTAAAACTGTTCTTCCTCAGAGAAGGTCATCATCACATACCACACATCCTGTTTAGCTTTTTTATTTTTTTTCCTCTATGCAACAAACTCAATGTGGACATGTTATTGTTGTTTTTGTAATAACTGGAATAATGGAAATGGAACTGCAACAACGGAATAATAAAAATGGAATAACAGAAATGGCAGATTATTTTACTTGTTTCGAGAAATAATGCTTAAAATAAGCAAAATTATTTGCCAATGAAATAAGACACTTAAATAAGATAAAATTGCTTAAAACAAGCAAAATATTTAGAAATAGTTTGAATAATCTTTTAACGTTCTTACAGCAATCTCATAATGAGAAATAATGATACATTGACTGGATTCAAGATGTTTACACTAAGATAAGCTAAGTTAAGAACTGCGAGAAGGGGATTTTATCACAGGGAAAAGGTGTTCTTAGGTACGATGCGAAGCGGAGTAAAACCCCCCTGTGATAAAATCACTGTAATGCACAGCCTCGAGTGGCTTATTGCTTTTATAAAATGGCGGTCAACATAAAATATGATAAAATACACCATTTTTCAGAAAATAGTTTAATTTATTGATATTATCAACAGACATAAACAAGTATTCCTCCAAGAAATGTAGTTCCTTTAGAGTATAGTTTCACTGCCAAGCAACCATGGACCGCTGAATGAGGTCAACGTTCATGAATTTTTAAACTTTTTGTCATGTAACAATGAACATATGATAACACAGCACTGTTTAATGGAAAAACCCTCACTTTATAAGTTCTTTTTGGCCACCTGATTACCACCAGGAGTTTTATTTAGCACCAATGAGCTGAATCTCAAAAGCAATTTAAATACTGGACCCTGAAGCCCAACAGTGCAAAATCTAGCTAAGAAAAAGTAATTTGGGATTCAGACACATCCATACTTGACGATTTAGGGCGTACAGAGCCATTTGGGATTCATCCTGGGTTTGAGCTACTTCTCACAGTTCAGTTCTACAGTTCAGTTTTTGTGATGAGGTCATATAGCTGTGTGTATACCGGGTATTTACAACGGCTTTGGAGTAGAATAACAACAATGCCATAATTTTAAATATAAATAGAATCATAGAAACACAATAACGAAAAATGAACTAATAAGTAAAATAGCAAAATGGAGTAATATAAAATATACAAGGAACAGCAGAAAAGGAACAATATAATCGCATTATTAGGAGTAGAATAACAACAATGCTATAATTTTAAACTAATAGCAAAAAAGGTGTAATATAAATGCAGTCATAGAAACTGTATAACAAAAATGTAAAAATATGTGAGTTTTTTCTAACGTTAGAGACACGTAGAGCAATTCTGAGGGTTTTATCGGTTCCTGACTGTCCCAGGAACTACATTTCGTGGTGGAATACTTGTTTATGTCAATTATTATTATTAATAAAATAAAATTAATTTATGAAAAAGTGTGTGTTTTATCAGATTTTGTGTTGGAAAACATTTTATAAAAGCAATAAGCCATCTGAGGCTGACCGTTACAGTGATTTTATCACAGGAAAGGAAGTTTTACTCCACTCCACGTCGTGTCTAAGAACACCCTTCTCGTGTTTAAACACCACATGGCTTATTGCTTTATCACAGTGTTTCCCACAAGCATGAACTGTACTATCTATATTTGTCTTAGGTATAAATTGAGAGCATTTAGGCACAATCCTTTAGATCAGAGCACCTTGAAGATTCTGAGAAATATACTTTTGACCTGTGCTGTATATGAGAAAAGAGGGAACGTTCCAGTGACATGTGCCTGCATGTGAAACACTCTTTTCCGTTCGTTTATTTCTGTGGAAAGAAGGAGAACCCAGTGTAGACTTTCATGTGGAGTCACTGTAGCTTCATTTTACACTTACCACAGAACCTCAGATTCTCCCCTGTCCTGCAGCTGCAATGTGACTCGCATATTTCAGATAGAGAAACTGTAGCTAATCTGTCATTTTCCCCATGAATCATCCCTATTTTTCCTCTTTAATGCACGAGAATCCACAGCAGTTCCCATACAGCTTGGCAAGCAATGCAGGCTTACACAGTATATCAACCCAACACCAGGACTTCCAGGAAAGTGCTTTGAATAGTCAGAAGATTATGTAAGAGGTGGAGGGTCCGTGAGGATAAGGAGCCTGTGAATGGCGATGAGGGCCATGATTAGATGTTTATAGAGCGAGTTGATGTGGATTTCATGTTTATTCAGCGTGTGGAGTGATGAATATTCCAGCCTGACGTTGTCATCTGGAACAGCTCTACAAGGACTGCGGGGCTACCCTGAATAAACAGGTTTTAAACAGGGGTTCATTGGCCCTGTGGAGCTGAAGCAGGCCTTAAGCTCTGCCTTCATATCAGACTGTCCTGGGGTCAGTCTTTAAAGAGAAATTCCACCCATTTTTCTAATTTCCTTTATAATTAAATGGTTAAGGTATAAACAAAGTCATTCAGAATGGTTTGAAATGCCCCGTTCTAGAACTTTACTGAGTCAAAATTGTTCACAGTGGTGGTGATATGAAACAGACGTACACCTGTGAAAGCTCTCTAATGGTAAACTGTGACTGTTAGTGCTAGGCCTTCAGTCCAGGCCCTAAATGTCAAAAAATGTGAAGGAAAGACACTTTTACAATATTGCTTCACTAACTTCTGCTAGGCCCCCAATGGGGTTTCTAATAGTATGTAGCTAGCTAATGCTAGTGCCCATGAGCGTTTTTTGGCTGTTTTAGATTAAGCGCAGACATTCAAGGCTTGTAAAAGTAATTTAATATGTTTTATCTGCAGCTTCTAACAGATATTATCATATATCTGAGCTTGCATGTATCAGTTTTACAGTGACTCTTTCAGTAAAGAATTCTGACATAGAGCTGCTGCTGCTGTTTTACATTCCTAAAAGCTAACCAGAACCTGCTTAGATTATGGCTAGTGTTCAGAGTCAATGATGTATCTAGAACATCCAGAGAGACTAGAGTCATGCTTTTGATGAAATTAATTCCATTGTAAATGGAAGTGTGATTGATTGATTCCTCTGTTACATCCTAATTATGTTAGTAGTTAATCTAATGTGTAAGGTCTTTAGGCTAGCCTCTGAAGTCCTAACCAATGAGAGAGCTCGCTCAGCAGTATCTACCTAGATACCACAAATCAAACAATCCTGATTGGATAGTTTTCTTTTGAGAATCACTGTATTATTACTACAATACTGTGTTACAGTGTTAAAATACAACAAGCAGGACAATTATTTTATCATTTTTTTAGTTCCCAGAAATCATTAGGCCTTCTCAGAACACTTAGAGCTCCCTGAGTACATAATGCTAATGCCAGCTAGATCTTTTGAGGTTAAAATAGAATACAATATAAAAGGATAGAATATAGTAGATTAGAATAGAATAGAATAAAACAAAATAGAATGGGATGGAATAGAATAGAGTAGAGTAGAACAGGATGAAAAAGAATAGAATGGGATAGAATATAGATAGAATACAATGAATAAGTACAGAATAGAATAGAATAGAATAGAATAGAATGGGATAGAATAGACTGAGAGAATAGAATAGAGTAGAATAAAATTAATAGAATGAAATAAAATAGAATGGAATGGAATAGAACAGAATAGAATAGAACAAAACAGAACAGAATGAGATGGAATAGAATAGAATAGAATAGAATGGAATGCCTTTAATGCTCTTGAAAGAAGCTAAATCCAGCCTGTTGTGAGATGGACCGCTGGAATTGCCAACTGGCACTGATTTAGAATTGAAAAACAGTGAATCTCAGTGAATGTAATCCAGAGACGCTGATCTCACTCTCTCTGCAGAGGATGAATGAAACATTTTTAGAGATGGGAGAGATGGGACTAATTAGAGTATACAGTACCGACCACATAGTCCGCAGGGAAAGCCCAGCCAAACCTAGAATGAAGCATAAACCACAGTGATGATCTGCACTTTTCCTGCTGTTCAGTGATTTCCGGTTGGAGAAGTTTCATACAGAGTTGATTATAGGGGTATAAAAATGAGTTGTGATGAAGGTGGTGGTTCAGCTGCACCAAGTTCGGAATGACTCAATTATAATAATATTCAATAGCACATGCTCAAAAAATCTAAATTCTCTGGTTTGGTGTACTATTTTTGTTCATATTACTCCATTGGGTAACTGTCCGTATCACCATATCACTGTCCATATCACTCCCTTGGGTAAACGGTTCCTCCAATTACATTTGTGTATTTAGTGCATTTAAAAAAATAATTGTGTATTTTGTAGTTGAGTTGTGGTGAAATTTGTGATTTCATAATCTTAAGTCATCAAGACTTGATGAACTGGACTAGCTTCAGTTAAGAAGACAGCCTGAAAGTTTCCTACCGTACCTGCACTGTTTAGTGGATCCCAGAAAAAACCTTCAATGTTTATGTTTTTCCCAGCAACCCCTGGTGCGTCTACGTGGCGGGGCAAACATAGGTGAGGGTCGTGTGGAGGTGCTGAAGAACGGAGTGTGGGGGACGGTGTGTGACGATAACTGGGACCTGAAGGCCGCCACAGTGGTGTGTAGAGAGCTTGGCTTCGGCACGGCAAAAGAGGCTCTGACCAGTGGCCGCATGGGGCAGGGTGAGTATTTACAACTGCGCCCTTCATATACATAGATTATAGGTGTTCAAACTGTAAGGTGGTTTATGAAGAAATTGCAGGGGGGTGAGGGGTGAGATACAAAATAGCAAAAAGTATAAATATAAATCCGTAATATATAAATATTAGAATATTTGGTCATTTTTTACAACCACTTTTTACTTTATTTGTTTATGAATTTTATTTAGTTTATAATAAGTGGTCAAATTTATTGTCATGGTAACAGATATGTTAACCACTTTTCCACAATTTATCACTTAATTTACACAAAATATGTTTTTTTACATACATATATGGTCGCTGTCTAAAGAAAAACATGTATCTCCAAAAATGTTCTTAACGTTCAATGTACGTCAATATAAGGAGGTTTTATTCCAAAAACAGAGATAAATTCTTGTTAGCCTGCGACGATAAGCTGCTGTACTTTGCATTTTGTGAAGTTTGTTTTGCTGAGGTGGAGGTGGAAGGGGGGGAAAAGTCTGAATACAGATAGAAACAGAAGAAGAATTTCATACTGATTAAAGGTGTATCCATTTTAGCAGATAGTAGCTGAGGCTAACTGTGAATAAGCTGCTTTGCTACCTCCAAAGCCCTGACTCCAAAATACATGGACTGCCTTAGTTGTAAAAGTCAGAAATAAAATGATACACAAACAGAAACTGACCTAACTCATTAGCAAGTTAACGTTAGCTAGCAGAGCTATTTCATTGAAGAGCTAATCAGCTGTTGCTGTGGGTTTTATCACAGCTCTGCTTTGTAGCTAACTAGCTAAATAATGCTAAGGCTAGGCTAGGTCCCTGCTGTGCGTAGTGCACATACAGCATGCGTCCTGGAGACACCTAATGTTTCAAAATACATATAATAAATTCATGTTTTCTTTGTTATTTTACAATATCTGACCATATTAAATACTAATCAGGTTTATTTGGAAGAAGACAGTGTCATTTTTTCATCAAAATCTGCTCTTCACTCCAAGAAAGATGATCATGAAGCTGACTGTTGAAGATAAATATACACAGATATCAGCACAGAGCTGCTTTATGGCAAACTAAACCTGCACAGGGAGTTTTCTTAATTGGAGAGTAACAGTGAGAAAATGCCACATAAGAAGGGAAAGTGTCTCTAAACTTTTGATGCACAGTGTATATCCACATACAGTGGCAATATGATGGATCACAGAGCCAGTTTCTGTGAATTATTACATTTTAGACCAAGGCTTCCCGCTGTAACTCACTCAGGCTGATCTGTGTGTGTGTGTGTGTGTGTGTGTGTGTGTGTGAGAGAGAGGCTTTAGCTAAAAACTCACACACTGAACAGAAGCAGCAGTGAGGATTCTTGAAGCTGCAGGTCCAGCTGCAAACATCTGCTCCCGAAACATGGCCAACACATGCTGTGTATTATCACTGATTAGATCTGTAAAGTATATTAATTTAACAAGATTTTAAGTAATTTTGGACCATATATATCAGTCCATTCAACATGAAATGTTCACACAATGTATTCATGCTACACTGTAAATTACAGTAGTTTACTTTAATATTACAAGTGTATTAGACAAGTTAATGTATTTTTCAACAAATGGATGTCTAGGAACAATGATTGGACCTTGAACCTGAACTTCAAAATTGATCTACTGTTTTACAATAATTTACATAAATTAAAATCAGTCCATAGACGCATTAATTTTTAATTATGTTAATTTTAATTTTGTTAGTTACTGAATCATTATTGGGCACTGAATTATTTTAGTGGATACTGAATAATTCATAGTACATACTGAATAATTCCTAGTAGACACTGAATAATTCATAGTAGTTGTTAAATAATTGGTTTTAAGATAATAACTGAATGATATGTTAGCAGTTTAAGTGATTAAGGCCCCTCAATCTCTGAAAACAGGTATAATAATGAACACTGAGCTGAAATTCAGGATAAAACATGTTAAACTGCAGTGCAGTGGGCGAGCGCTACTAAGAGAACATTCTTCTTTCACCAGGAGGGAATTATCGTGTTGTTTGGCTTCCAACTTGGCCCTGCTGGTGTTTTCAGTCTTCAGCTTTCAGTGCTAAAACCCAACACCTGTTTGACATATTACTGTCAAAAGTTTGAATACAAGTGTCACCATTTACTGATTTTAGAATAACAGTGAATACAACAGAACCATGAAATATGGAATTATATGAAAGCTTATTTAGAAATACAGTGATAAAAAAGTATTAAACACATATAAGGGACATGAGGTCACCAAATCAGTTCATGTTAAAAAAGCATATAACAAAAAATAGAACTGAAAGCAGGTTTAAACTGCAGAAACTTTATTAATGACAAATACGGAGAAAATCATAAAGTAGGCTGCATAAATAAATTAAAATAGAGAACTGCACACTGACACCCTGAATCCTTGAACTTGTGCATTATTTTTCAGGTCCAGTTATAACCTTAATGTGGGTTCATGCACCAAAAACAGTCATTATTCATTTCTACATTACCATCTTCCAACCTCTCTTTATCCCTTAGAATTAAACACTGTTCTTCTATTGTTACAAGATTGACATTGTAGCAATAGCAGAGATCTTTCATGATGCATAGAACACTTTAATCATGCAAAGGGATTCTTTGAGTGTTCATGCTTCTATTTAGAATCATTTTCTTTATCTAAAGAACCCTCGAAGAACCACTTTTGTGTACAGTTGCACTGGCTGACAAGTTACTTTTTGAGGAGCGGGGCGAAGTCAAAACAAGCATTTATTAACATTTAAAATATTAATTTTGGAAATAAACTCATACAAACACTCTCAAAGGTCTCCAGTAGGTTCCATGGATTGGTTATTTAGGGAACCAAAAGTGGTCTTTCTGTGGCATTGAACACTTTTTGGCACCTTTATTTTTAGAAACTTTAGTGTAGAAACAAATTTGAAATATTGAAGTGGTAAAAATTTATATCAGGTTGTTCTTAAGCTCATCTAAAACGTACGTCCAGTCAGGTGGGTCTTTAGAGTGCTGCTGTAACCATATGGAACCTTGGTACAGTTTATGTTTCTCCAGTTGTTGGGTATAAAGCTGCGTGAGGCTGTGGAGTGTTTGCCGTTTCTTTATTATCATAAGTGCTTGTTATTATCAACAGCTGCACTCTGGAGATCATTACTCAGAGCGTTCAGTTTATTCTTACTTAGCCACAGTGAAAAACACTGCTGAACACTGCCCGGGCCAAATGGACGCAGCAGACCAGCGGGAACCATGCCCGTTACCATGGAGACACCGTTTACTCATACGTGGGTCACTGCCCTCTGACTGATGGGTAGAGAACTGGAGGGCGTCCCACCTGATTCCTGCCTTAATGAGGGAGTGAGAAAAATGTCCCATGTGTCAGTGCTATTTCCTGCTGGAACTGAAACCTACACGTGTGTGGAATCCCTCACTGAGCGTCCAGCTGCTGTATTTCACAAGCTTAGAGATCAGCAGCGTCTTCAGTTCTCTTATACACAATGGTTAAACTCTAAATGCACTTCAGTTCCTCACTCTCAAATCTACAGAACTTAGACTTCAGTGTGTGTTAGTAATAATTTATAGCACATACTGAATAGTTCATAGTAGATCCTGAATAATTTCTAGTAGATACTGAGTAATTGGTTTTAAATAATAACTGGATGATACGTTGAGGGTTAAGTAATTAATGCCCGCAATCTCTGAAAATGGGTGTAATAATGAACACTAGGCCGATATATATACAGTCTCTGAACGCTGCTGTTGAGCTGTATGTGCGTATGTGTGTGTGCAGGAATGGGTCCGGTCCACATGAATGAGGTGGAGTGTTCAGGCTTTGAGAAGTCGCTGACTGAGTGCTTCTTCAATAAAGACTCTCTGGGCTGCAGCCATGAGGAGGACGCTGCTGTCCGCTGTCACGTCCCTGCCATGGGCTTTCACAACAGGGTTAGATCACCAGAACATTCACCACGAAACCCATCTCCTGTTCTCATACCCCAATCTGCATATCTCTCTTCTGCAGCCTCCAGCACATGTTAGGTGTCTGAAGTTTGCCTCTTTAGTTTTAGCACAGGCGCTATGAGGCTAATGAAGCTATCAAGTGATAAGCTTAAACTCCACCAATTAGCATGGTGCTAACTACAAGCGTAAGTCATCATCACCTCAAACTGTGCAGAGGTGTTCAGTATTTCTAATAGATGTGATTATATGGTTTCTGACACTGTATGACTCACTGATATCTATAAACATGGACTAAATTGCTGATGGCTGTTGCTGCTACTGTTTAAGCTACATACTTTTCATTTTTATACACAACCGTTTGTCACATCATTGTTAGCTACATTAGCCTCATAGCTTCAGTGCTAAAACTAAAGAAGCAAACATGTCATGGCTGACTGACTACATTTTGATTAGGAGGGAAATACTGTAGGCTAAATTTGACTTGGCTTCTGGATTTTGTAACCTTGGTGTTTCTCCTCTGCAGCTGCGTCTGAGTGGAGGCCGGAACCCGTCTGAGGGTCGTGTGGAGGTTCTGGCTGAGAGGAACGGCTCGCTGGTTTGGGGGACGGTGTGTAGTGAGAGTTGGGGGATAATAGAGGCGATGGTGGTCTGCAGGCAGCTGGGACTGGGCTTCGCCAGCAACGCATTCCAGGTAAGATTCACAGGAGCTTATTTCTGACTGTATACTCTTACAGACTTCTGTTTACAATATTATAAAGATAGAGATGGTACCCATATATTCCACTTCTCCATTCTGCTTTGTGGATACATAAAAAACAAAATTAATGCTGTCTAGGGCTGAAAGACCATTTTTTTTATCGAAGTCACAGTTTGAGAGTGTGAGGGTGCAAGATTGCAATTTTCAGTTTTTTTTTTTTTTATATAATACAATACCAACAATATTGTCTTAGCATGTTTTAGAGCTTGTGAAGTGGCTGTAGCTGGATCAATCAAAAGCTACAAAAAACCCATGTTCTGTACATGTGACATCACCACCTTCACAACTGGTAGTCTGACACACTCAGCGTTCAAGCTTCATGCCAGAAAAAGTGGATATTCTGCTCTTCTTGGCCAAAAAACAGGCCCGGAAATTCATTTATAGGAAATTATTGCATTTAAATTGCAATTGCATAATTCAGAAAAAAGGCAATATAGATATTTTCCCCAAATCAATCAGCTCTAATGCTGTCTCAGACAACAAATTGCAAAAGGTAAAATAATTCTTTGCTGCTGAGTTAAAATTGGGGTCTTCGGTTGTTTTTACACCTAGTTTGTTTGCTAAAGTCCTCATCAGACTTTTGGGTTTTAGTGATACCATATCTTTTTCATTTGGTTTGGTTTGTTTCTGATTTGTGTCCATACCAAGCAAAGTAGGTATGCAAGCATCCTTAGCATGGTTAAAGTGTTGATTTGAGCCTTTTGGGTCCATAGCTGTGAGTCAGAAACTTTAGACCAAAATATGTGAATGTGAGGCTCTGCCCATCAGATAAAAGAACCAGCATAGCTAAAAACTGACCAATAGAAGATCATCATAGCTGAAATATCACCAATAGGAGAACAGCAAAGCTGAGAATTGATCAATGGAAGATCTTCATAGCTAAAATATCACCAATAAAATAACAAGGCTGAGAATTGACCAACAGAAGATCGTCATAGCTGAAATATCACCAATAAGGGAACAAGGCTGAGAATCGACCAAAAGAAGATCATCATAGCTGAAATATCACCAATAAGAGAACAAGGCTGAGAATCGACCAAAAGAAGATCATCATAGCTGAAATATCACCAATAAGAGAAGAGCAAGGCTGAGAATTGACCAATAGAAGATCATCATAGCTGAAATATCACTAGTAAGAGAAGAGCAAGGCTGAGAATGGACCAATAGAAGACAATAACAGCTAAAAAAACACATTAGGAGGACAGCATGGCAAAAAATCTACGAGGCTTGGCTGAGATTTGACTGAGATTTTATTGGCATCTTCTCCCACACTGCAGCTCCCGCAGCTATTTGTGCACAGTTTTCAACTTCAGATTTATTTAAATAGCACTTACAGTAGACATGGTCAGATTGTAGCTTCAAGCTTTACAGAAAGCCAGGTCCAAGTCCCTAATGAGCACCAGAGTTCAAATAAAAGTGAATCTGCTCTACTGTTTGCAGTGGCCACTGTGTTAAATGTGTGTGAGCTCACAGATAATTAGCTCCAGTATTTAAAAGCTGTAGTGTGGGTAAGTAAACAGCGTGATGCGGTTTAAGAGACCCCTCGCCTGCCCTTCTGCAGCTTTCAAGTTTAATTAGTCCACCTTTTGGTCCACGTAGACACTCTTGACATGACTTGCTGATGTCACAGGATTTCTGACCACTTTTGAGGAAGAATAAAGGGCCAATTTGCCCTAGTTTTAGCTACTTAAGTGAAATAATAATTGTTATACGATGGTTAGTTCTGCACACACACTCTGATTGGTCGGAAAGTGTTCGACCTGTGTTGTTACATCTGATAGCACATATTTTTACAATATTTACATTGTTACACCAGTTACCAGGTGCTTAGTAACAACGATGAACGCATGCTCTGGAACTACTTTTTTGGGCGGAAGAAATTGCCAATTTTAAAATCACATATAAACAAAGTTCAAGGCTTTTTTGCTTTGCTTTTCTTTGTAAAACAATTCTGTAGGAGCAGCGCTGGTGTAATATGGTGAATAAAATCACGGCCGTGATGATCTACAGCAACCGAATCACAGCCATGATAATATTCACCACAAAATGCCACATACTGGATTCTACTTTGGACTGGATTTTTGACATAGGACATTTCGTGTCTAAATGTGCACTTCACTTTCATTCTTAGATCTCACTTTAGCTCGTTTGGCTACAATTTGCTGATGATGCAACAGATTATTCCAAGTAAGCAGAAGGATCTTCAGTTATTTTGCACGTGAATACAACATCCTGCTGGCAACAGGACACGTTTTTGAACAGTTACAGCCGTTGCACTGAGATAATGGCAGTGGAATAGTTTAATTAGTGGTTTAGTGAGAGCCTGGCAGTGCGAGGCTGGGACATTAATAATGGAGTATTGGTTCGGTTTGGAGTTTTATGAGTGGAATCTGGATGATGCTGAAGTGGCTATGCAGGCCGGAGCTATGATGGAGTCTCATTATCATGACTGTGTAAAATTGGCCACAATTGGAAGAGAACGTTTCACAGCTGTGATGGTAAGAAATTAAAATTCAAATTTCACTCTTATGTTGGATTCAGACGGTTTGTCTGGATTTCTAACATTCTCACAGCAGTTAAACATGATTGCTTCAGTAATATTTTATAATAATGTTTTGTCATTTCTGAAATATTGTATGGTTGAAAGCACATACTGAAACTCCTTTGGTCCAAAGGTACTTTAAACACCAGAAAAGTTTGAGTGCTGACAAAGGGGAAAAAGTGGGCGTGGCCTTTGGCTTTATTCCCAAACTAGCACCCTCAGTAATGTTAGCACAAATGTTTACACGTGTGATATTGTTTTTCCTGTAAATAAACATCATAAATCTTTAAGTACTGTCACTAATATTGGCATGAGAGGTGTGTGAAGTATCCTAAACCCATCCCGCAGTAGAAGAACAACAGTAACAGCTCAACAAACTACTTCAATACAGACTAACTAGAACTGCAGTGGAACATCTTAGAACGTCCAGCATCTCTCAGCACAGGACCTGCTCTTCCTGTAACTGCTGGAACTGTAATTGTATAATTATGAATTTTTTCTGATTTCTGATCAAACATTGTGTGGAAAGTGCAGGTTCTAAACTTTCAAACTGTACCACACCTTTTATTATGATTTACATTTTGATGAGAAGTTATTGTTGTACGTGCAGTCCTGTTTTGTGCAACTTTTTACTTTTTTACATTGAACGTTATTGAATGTAATTCATTTTGTAACAGACTGTATCATTAAACTTGAAATTATGTGACTGCATTTGAATAGCACAGCACAAGTAAAGTTATTGTAAATGGACACAAGGTGTGTTCATTTGCATTGCAAGCTAGATGTTCTTTGCTGAAGGTGGGTTGGAGCTGCTCCTCATGTTTTGAACACATGGATACAGACAAGAAGTCCATATGGAGGAGCGGTCATTAAACAAAGTCTGGACCCAAAGACCTGAGTGTTTCAGCAGACTGAGAGAGAGAGAGAGAGAGAGAGAGAGAGAGAGAGAGAGAGAGAGAGCGCTGGAGCATATGGAAAATATGAGTTTGTTTCCCCCCCAGAGTTTATAGTTTAGATGTACGACTGGCTCTCACTCACTGTGTACGGGGGTCTGCCTCATCACCTTGGAAACAAACACACAAGCACAACCCAAACACAAAACACTACAACATCAAACTGGATCAGAATTAATTATAGAACACAGACAGACAGACAGATAGATAGATAGACAGACAGATAGGCAGAGAAACAGATAGACAGGCAGACAGACAGGTGACAAATGACAAATAATCAAACAGACTATCTGTGCAGATTCTGAATGTGTTGTGATGAAGCCGAGTTCTCTCCACACATTCAACCACAGCTATTAGGGCAGCTCCCTCTAGCTGTGAGTAAATGATATGGCACTTCACCTTTTTTGAAAATATAGTTGTAACTCTGGTGGTTAGAATATGCTACTACATTTTTCCATAATGAAGTGTAGTTATACTGCTCCCTCTAGTGGTTGAGGAATCCTATCATATTTACATTTTTACAAGCGCTTCTACTTTTGTATATATAACATCTACAACATATGTACACGTACAACATTTCACTGCTATTGGAACAAAACCTTGTATCTCCATTTTTATCATTTTTCAGTTTTTGACATAATTTGAAAATGTTTGCTGCTCTTTGCATTGTGTAAAATCTCATGATGAATGGACCAAAAGAAACGACCTAAAATGACTTGGAAAAACATCTGGTTCCATTGACTTACATTAACAGTAAATTATGTTTTTTCCTTCTCCTGTAAAGTTTTTGATACAAGGTTTTGTTCCAAACAGCAGCGATTTGTATAACATCTAATCGTAAGAAATTGGTTCATGATGATTGGTCAGTGATCATTTGCAGTGTCCCCTGCATTGGTCTGTAGTGGTGATCTTTAATGTTAACCTCTCTGTGGTGTGTTTGTGTGTGTGTGTGTGTGTAGGAGACGTGGTACTGGCCGGGTGACGCCAGTGCGGACAGCGTGGTAATGAGCGGGGTTCGGTGCTCTGGTACTGAGATGAGTCTGGCTCAGTGTCTCCATCATGGCAAACACATCAGCTGCCCGAAGGGAGGAGGACGCTTCGCCGCTGGAGTCTCCTGCACTCAAAGTACGATCCTTAGTGTTAATTTATTATCACATGCTATCTGCCACTGTGCCATTAAAGCCATAGTTTAAAAAACAGTCAAATGCACCCAGTTTCCACCCCTTACCCCAAATGTAGCTGATCAGCCAAGACAAGTTTGGTGTCTGAAGTTTGCTTATTTAGTTTTTGCACTGGAGCTACAAGGCTAGTGCAGCTAATAAGTAATAGAAACTTAAGTACACCAATTAGCATGGTGCTAACTGCATGAATAAATCATTACACACTCACCAAAAACCGTGCAGTGAGTTGTTCAGCAACTTCTAACAGACACAGTTCAGGCTCCAAGCCAAAAACTACTGTTTTTAGCTGTATGTGGTACTTTTGTTTAAGTTTTTTATTATATTTCTCTACTTACAGTATTACTTTGTTATCGTAGAACAGCCCCAACAGATCACAGATGTTCAAATTGTTAACAAACTATTTGGTGAAACTTAATTCTCAACAGTGTTAGAGTTAGGATTAGGCTTCGGGTTAAAGTTAAGGTTAGAATTAGTGATGTGTGATGTACAATTTTCACACAGCATCCATTTAAACATGAACTTTCTCATAGTAATGAATGGAGGAATGTTTGACATCCTGAAATAAAATCATTCCTATATTAACCTCATATTGCACTACAGTCACTGTCACATATGTGGCCAAATGTTGTGCACTGCTTATGTCACCGTGATACAAGTACACTAGCCACACCCTTGCAACCACCTGGGATACCACTGGAACCACCTAGCAACACCCACTCAACCACCATAGCAACAACATAGCAACAACATAGCAGCTCCCCAGCAACCACAAGAGATTCTAGCAACTATGCTGAAGTTTTCTCTTCACTGTAAGTAAGAGTCCTAGGCAAACCCCTGAAACACAACCCCACAGCATTATCCCTCCTCCACCAAACTTTACAGTCAGGCAGGTAACGTTCTCTCGGCATTCGCCAAACTCAGACTTGTCCATCAGGCTGTCAGACAGAGAAACGTGATTCATCACTCCACAGAATTTGTTTCCACTGCTCCAGAGTCCAGTGGCTTTGTGCTTTACCCCACTGTTAAAGCGCTTTGTACAAATGTGGTTAATGGGGTATATAACCTATGATTTGATTGGTTGTTAATCTGAATCCACTCTTGTCTCTCAGCTGCTCCTGACCTGGTGCTGAACGCCGAGGTTGTTGAACACACCACCTATCTGGAGGACCGGCCGATGTATGCCCTGCAGTGCGCGCATGAGGAGGACTGTCTGTCCAGCACGGCCAACGCCGCTGACCAAAGCTCGTACCGCCGCCTGCTCCGATTCTCCTCACAGATCCACAACAATGGCCTGTCTGACTTCAGACCGCGAGCCGGCCGGCACGCCTGGATCTGGCACGAGTGCCACAGGTCAGGAAACAACATCAGCTGGTTTAATTAATTCTTAAACTTCAGTGACAGATGAGTTCATACGCTAAACACAAATACTTCATACTGTGTATGTATTTTTTGTATACTGTGTATTCACTTTTTAAGCCAAGTATATTAAATGTTCTTGCCACAACAAATTCAGCCTGTAAATGTATAAAAACCTTGTATAACAAACCTGATATAAAATGCAGAACTGATTTCATAATCATTCTCAAAACAAACATTTAGAAGTGGGCCATTTTATCGGAAACACCTGCCGTATAGCTCCACTATGTAGGTGTGCAGTTACAGACTGTAGCTCATCTGTTACTGCACAGTTTATCAGCCCCCCACTACCCCACCCATCAGTGGACAGGGACCACTATCAGACCACCGCTGACCAGGGGGTAGATGCATGTTTGTGTTTTTTTGTTTTGTTACTGTTTTTCTGTGAGCAGACGCTGCCATGTGTGAATGATGTTTGTTTGTTTGTTTGTTTGCTTTTTAAGAGTGCTGGGAGTCTTACTACAAAGAATCGATTTCTCGATTCCAGGCTTTCGGGATTTGAGAGTCAATTCCAGATTGATTCCAAGCTGCTTTGATGAAAGATATACAGTCATTTTTAGTCGAATTCAAAACTACTGAAATATAAAATTAACAACTAACATATAAATATAAATTTAATATAATATATTATCATTATTACTGTAATTTTTAGACCCCTAAAACCAGTATAGGACACAAAATGTTCATATCAGTGTGGAACTAGAACGGACCAGTCAAAAGTTTTAAAAAGCAAGCTTTTTTTTTTATTTTAGTTTGTTAATACAACAATAACAATTTGCTACAGAGACACACTCAGACTAAATAAATAAAGTCAGCAGGGGCCTAACACAATACATCCTTTTATCTAAGTCAATAAAGTAGATAGAGAAAACAGGATTTAGGAGAGAACCAAGGCATATCAATGTTCTACCAGAGTTATAGTAACCTATAACATATAAACTAACAACTTTACTCCACTGTAAAGTTAGCAGAGCTTAAAGCCTCCACATAATTAAGGAAAGACTCAATGTGAACTTATCAGCTGACCCCTTAACCGTGTACCTAATCCTCTCCATCTTTAAGAAATACAACATATCCCTAATCCATTGTGGAAATACCAGGGGTGTCGCTCTCTTTTGATCAAGCCAGAATTTGTCATCTAGCCACCAATGTGGCAAAAGATAAAAGACATATAAAGAAATTAAATAGCTAAAAAGCACTTTTTAACTTATTAAAAGTGTTGTTGCTGTCCAAAGAAAACTATGTATCTTTATTTTTGTTGAATTTTATTTTTCTAATCATTTGAGTTCAGCAGCTTTACATTGTGTGCAAATTTCATGGTGACTGGGCCAATAGAAATGCTCCAAAATCACTTAAATAAACCCTCTTTTACATTAACTTACATCAAAAGCAGGGAAAGTTTTTGCCGTCTCCTGTAAAGTTACTGTTTTGGAGATACAGGTTTTTCTTTGGACAGTGACGATATACAGACGTAAAAAATGCTTTTATTCTTCTCCTATGAAGTTATAGTTTTGGACCTCAGGCGTTCGTGTCAGCGTCTCACTATGGGACATGACTTCTGCTTTTTTTTCTTATCCTTCATTTCTCTTATAGACTCCCATTCATTTTTGGCTCCCACACAAGGACTATTATTTCTGTACCCGACAGCTACCAAACTACATGTACCCACTCAGGGTGGGTCCTCAAACTCTACTGCACAGCCAAAGTGACCCACACTCCTCTATGTGTAATTTTTTCATCCCTTGTTCCTCCCATAGACTCCCATTCATTTTTCAAAACAACTAGCAACCACTTGGCAACCCCCTAACAACCACTTAGTTCCCACCCCTCATGCTATAGCAACTGCCTAGAAACACCTTAGCAACTGCCTAGTAACAACCCTCAGGGGCACAATCCCTCTGCATTTTCTTCAGGAATATATATTATAATATTATTTATTCTAGTTGAATTGCACTTTTTATTTTCGCCTTTTCCTGTTTTTGGAATCAGTCGAAGGTTCTAGACTGTGCCATGTGTGAATGATTGTTTGTTTGTTTGTTCTGTGCAGGCACTACCACAGTATGGAGGTCTTCACTCACTACGACCTTCTGAGTCTGAACGGCACCAAAGTGGCCGAGGGTCATAAGGCCAGCTTCTGTCTGGAGGACACGCAGTGTGACGAGGGTCAGAAATCCATCCCATAATATTACACAACCATACCGTTCCACAGCCAGTGATAAATCAACAGAACATTTTACTTTTCAAAGAAACTATTTATTAATTTTAATCTGCTATTGGTTTAAATTACATTTTCAGTGTAAATGTGACAGTGCAGACCACCTTATATGGAGTTATTATTTATTAGTTGATTATTATTACATAATAAAAAGAGAAATAACAATTTTAGAATTAGTTTGTTTAATATAATAATAATAATGATAATCATCATGTTTAATTTGTGTAGTGCCTTTGTCATACCCAAGGTTGCTTTACTGATGCAGCGTTCAAAATAACACCCACATTACTATTGTTATTATTATTATTATTATTATTATTATAATTTTCATTTAAATGTCAGTACAGTCATATGCAAACGTTTAAACACTCCCTAGTCAAATGACATGCTTTACTGATGTCCTAAATAAAAATAAGAACACATCCTCTATAGAAAATTCAAATATGACATTTTTCAGCAAATTTTAGTGCTAAATTTCTATTTATTTAACATAGTGGAAAAATATATGCCATAACTTTTGCACAGGCCACATTTTATGTTTTATTTCCCCCCACTATGTTAAATTCACTAAATAAACAGTAATAGTGTATTAAAACCTGCTGAAGTGTATCTCTGTAGAGGATGTGTAACTTATTTACACTCAGAAAATCAACAGCACATACGCCAAAGCTTTTGCACACAGCTGTATTCGTTATTTATGAGCTGTTACTCGGATGATGTATTTATTATGTAGTAGAATGCAGGATTAAAGGCTGCGTGTTGACATGTTTATAGATGTGATGATATTCTAAACAGCTGTTCTCTTCATGACAGGCATCGAGAAGAGATACGCCTGCGCTAACTTTGGTCAGCAGGGCATCACTGTGGGCTGCTGGGACACTTACAGACACGACATCGACTGTCAGTGGATCGACATCACAGACGTCAAACCAGGAGACTACATTTTCCAGGTCATCACTACATCTAAACAAACACTAAATCACTTCATAATCACAGCAGTAAAGCTTTAGCAGCCTGACTTTACTGATGATCAGGCTTACTGAGTTTTAGTTTTGAGTTTATTACAGAGAAGATCCACCAAATTTTCAAAATTACTTCATAATTCAGTCACTGAGATGTAAGCAGAGCGATTCAGAGTGGTTTGGTGTGATTTAATTATATAGGAATTTTGAAAAAAGTCTTCGAAATTCCTCTTTAGAAACACACTGGCAATATAGAGACGTAATTATACAGAATGCACACTTGGAAGAAAAAACAATACGCATTCAAATATGATGCAAACATAAAAATAGTATATAATAAGTATATAGTCTGACTGACTGTAGTTCTCCGTATATGTGAAGGTGTTAACATTAGGCCTGTTTGTGTTTTGTGCAGGTTGTAATTAATCCCAATTATGAAGTAGCCGAGTCTGATTACACCAACAACATCATGAAGTGTAAATGCCGCTATGATGGGCATCGGATATGGACGTATAACTGCCATATAGGTGAGCTTTGAAACCTTTTTTTGGGTCAACATGTCCCAGCACTGCATGAGTCATTTGTTTATAATGATCCCAATTATGGAAATACAATTACAATACACTATACGTAAAATTACTGAAATAAGTCCTCAATCAGGAGGATGTTTTAATGTATTTTTCATTTAGGTGGATAATGTTAACCAAAAGTTGGACCAGTCCAAAAGGAGATGTAGAAAGTACATTCCCTTTGGGCCATCATGAAGAGAAGTTTTAGCACCAGAGCTATGAAGCTAATGTAGCAACGAAAGATTATACTGCACCAATTAGCATGATGCTAACTGCATGTCTAAAAACATGAATCAAAGCCTATGTGGTTTCTGACACTGTATGACATACTGTTTTCTATAAACATGGTCTAAAGTACAGCACATAACTTATGCTTAATAGATTCTAATTGGTGGGGTACACACTTCCATTACTTGTTAGCTACACCAGCCACATTGTTTCAGTACTAAAACGTCTTGGCTTTAGTGCTCTGATGATGATCCAGAGAATTTGTAGAAAGAATTACCACTCTAATGTCTTCCAGCTTTCTCAAACGCTAGAGGGAGCTCTCGAGCAAGTCCAAATTGAATGTGTTAGGATGGAACATTTGAGCAAAATCATAGGTTATAAATGCTGAAGCATTTTAATGTAAAAGAATAGCATAAAACATTTTTTTTAACACCGATGTTATATTTTTGAGAGCTTAAAATGGTGCCTCGTGTACGTTCATGATGTCAGTGAGCGCTAACAGCCAATGAGCTGCTCCACTCACCAACCAGTCAGCACTCAGTAGCAGTAATGTTAAACAATCAGCACTTAGTAGCAGTAATGCTAACCAATCAGACTAAGTAGCAGTAATGCTAACCAATCAGACTAAGTAGCAGTAATGCTAACCAATCAGCACTCAGTAGCAGAAATGTTACCCAATCAACACTCAGTAGCAGTAATGCCAACCAATCAGCACTCATTAGCAGTAATGCTAACCAATCAGCACTCAGTAGCAGTAATGCCAACCAATCAACACTCAGTAGCAGTAATGCCAACCAATCAGCACTCATTAGCAGTAATGCTAACCAATCAGCACTCAGTAGCAGTAATGCTAACCAATCAGCACTCAGTAGCAGCACTTTCTAAGTTCTCGGCAAGTGATTAGAAACTATTTTAACCTTTCGTTTTAAGCCGTTTAGCTTAATTCACCCTCGTTCATTAAGAACTTGCTTGCAGGCGCCCTCTGGTGTTTTGCAGGAGTGTTTTTGTTATAACTGGGGGAAGGAAGAGGCCAGACTCCTCATAAGCCGCCTCTGATGACGATCATGATGGTACCTCTGTTTCCTGTAGGTGGTTCGCGGAGCTCCGACCTCGATGACTTTCCAGGAATACTGACGAATCAGCTGCAGCGCAGGTAGAGAAGACGAGTGAAGAGGAAGGCCAGTGTCCAGCCTGACTGTTAAACCAAGACCAACCACTAGAAGGAGTGTTAGCCATGCTAAAGTCAGCGACTTGTACCTCTCACCACACGCAGTACTGTTTACCGTCTACAATCGTTACAGCTGGAATTAAGAATTTAATTCTCTGTATCATCCCCGTCATAAAAAAACCTTTTTCCCCCAGCTTCTTTGTTCTTTTTACTCCATTTGAACTACCAGCTGCTCCTTACATGGAATGAACATTTAATGATGAATTAATGATGAAATTCTTTCACTTACATTAAGAATGTTAGAAAGTTCATTCAGTTTCTATATTTCTGTTTTTATTTTCTATACCCCATTTGAAAATGTAACTTTATTATTATGTGAAAGTTTCATGAGGAATGGAACAACAGAACTATTTTTAAGTTATTAGAAGTAGAAAGTTTTAGATCATTTTTGGTAACACTTTACTTCAGGGCAGTATTCATAAGGCTATGTGACACATAAACTCTAACACAAACCTACTAAAACATTTATAAAGGCATATTCCAAAAGCATATAATTGTGTAAAATATCTTTGTGTGCTGTAACATTAACATCACCCTTCACTGGAACTAAGGGACCTAAAAAACAGCCCCAGCCCATCAACTTTACTGTTGGCACTATGCATTCCACTAGGTAACGTTCTCCTGGCATCCACCAAACCCAGATTCATCCATCAAGCTGCCAGGTAGTGAACTGTGATTCATCACTCCAGAGAACATGTTTCCACTGCTCCAGAGCCCAGTGGTGGCATGCTTTACACCACTCCAGCCGACGTTTGGCTTTGCACATAGTGATCTTGGGCTTGTGTGCAGCTGCTCAGACATGAAAAACCCATTTTCTGAAGCTCCCAATGCATAGTTCTTGTACTGATGTTGCTTCCAGAGGCAGTTTGGAACTCTGTAGTGAGTAATGCACAGTATAGGTGATTTTCACGTGCTTAAGCACTTGGTAGCAAATTTGCATGGTCTGCCGCTATGTGGCTGAGATGTTGTAACTGCCAGATGCTTCCATTTCACAATAATAGCACTTACAGTTGTCTGGGGCAGATCTAGCAGGACAGGAATTTCTCTTGTGGCAAAAACTGACTTGTGGCAGAGGTGGCATCCTATGACAGTGCCACGTTTAAAGTCACTGAGCTCTTCAGTGCAACCCATTCTACTGCAGGGTCCGCAAGGCTGTGTGCTTGATTTTACACACCTGTTAGTAATAGGTGTGGCTAAAACACCTGAACTCAATAATTAGGAGAGGTGTCCACATGCTGGCCATATAGTGTATGTCATCAGCATTTTGTCACTGTGATATTTACGCCTGCTGGAACAAATGTTTATGTAGGTCTGTCAGTTGTCATGAAGGGCTTTTGTAGCCTTATGAACACTACGCTGCAGTAAAGTGTTACCAGTTCTTTCAAAGGTGCTATGTTAAGACTGTTTTGAAGACACAATGTTTTCTTATGACAGTGATGATGCGTTACTTACGACCTACATCAAGGGTTCCTTTTCTGTCCCTTTAAATTGGGGAACGTGTACTGTATGAATAAGACTGTCACTTGAAAAGTCACTTGAAATGATCCTTAATAATTTCTGTATTTGGATCAATGATACCACACCCATGACAAACTATCAGCAGATCATACCACAGTGCTTGCTTTACCATATCAGCTTTATATTTACAGCTTGGCATTTCACATCTGATCATATTGTATCACAAACTGTGCAGTTTTCCATTCTTTCAGCTTCTCTAGCTAATTCATTCATCCAGCATGTCAAGTAACTTATTCCTACCAGTCAGGGATCTTATGTAAAGTATGCTAAATTTATGCAATGTGAAACTGTTAAAGGAAAAAAAATAGCTGCCATTTTTGAAGCTTTTGTTGAATTATTGCTCTCCGTTTTATGAGGGCACCTAAAACCATTTGAATTGTTAATACATAAATGATGTGTTTACTTTTTGAATGGACAATAAACATTGTGCCTCATTGTTTTCTACCAATAAAAAAAGAAAATGTGTCTTTTCGTGGTGTATTATTTAGGTGTTAATGCCTCAAATATTAGATGTCAAATTTATCAAACCTTATGCTTAAAAGTTTTAATCAGTTTAGAGAACAAATTTTTAACCAAACAATGGAAAATGGATTAATTTGGTTGTGAATACAAGTATAAAACTGTATGTAAACCAAAAATATTCAAATGTCACTGTAAGACAGAGGTGTCCAAATTTTTTTCAAAGAGGGCCAGACTGTATGTTAAAATACCCAAGGGCCAAAATATTATTCCCAAAAGTTTTCAAAATGTTAGCGGATAGAATTAGAGCTTTCTGTGAGCTACTGTCTTTCCTATCACTGTATATAAGATGCACACGTCTTCTCTTATTGTCCCTTATTCTCTTATTGATCAGAGCAGTTTGGATCAGTCAGCACTTATGACAAATAATTACATTGTTTAAGAGGAACAATAAATAGTGTAATGTATTATATTCTTATTCAAGCATTTACATGTTAAAAACAGAATTTGGTAGACAAACTGAAAAAAACAGTGGCGTCTCTGGCCCCACCTGATGTCGCTGTGGAGCAGTTCACAACACTATCAATAATTCAGTATAACAACTAATATGAAACTTTTTTTCTTTTATATTTATTTCCTTTGTAACTATCATTGTTGCGGGTTTATTACATATAACAGTGATACATTCCAAATATCTTCCAGTACCTGTTGTGTAAATGCCAGTATTTCTCCTATCAGTCTTCGTTTGGTGAGTGTGGGGCCGTCAGTGCCCGTCAGCGCCTGTCTGACCAAGTGAGCAGTTAAAAAACACTCTGGGCATGCTCAACACGCTTTTAATAACCAGCTGTGGAGCCCAATCATGTTGGCCCCAAGCTGAGAGCAGCCAATAAAAAAATAATAAATTTACATATGTCCAAACGTTTAGTAACGTCATTTACAGTGTGGGCGTTGCTACGCAGCTAGCTATAATAGTTCCTCATCAGTTGGGATAGCCACTCATATTAGTAATGTAATATAATGAGTCAAGTTGAAAACATAATACAAGTTCAATTTGGTACCAGCCATTAGAGCAGAAATTAGAGATCAAACGTTTGGGACACACCAGCCAGAGGATTTCAACATCATTCAGTCTAGAAAGGACAAAACTGATCCTTCAATCCAGAGAGGTTCAAGATAAAAACATGGCTAACTGCGAGTTTAGCTGAAAACAATCTTGTGATTTAATTGATGGAGTGCGTTTGTGTTTGGATCAGGTTTGTGTTTAGTTTCATTGACGAGTCGCTGCTGCCCCTACAGTTTATTGTGCCCCACCAGGCTTTCTGTGGTAGAGACACCGCTGTTCTTTACATGTCAAATAAATGCAGCAACCACATTTAGACATAACTGTATTAAATGAAAAGAGCAGAATAAACAGCAAAAATAGCCAAGTTTTTGTTTGACCTTAAAGGATTAATATTTACTGAACTACTGATTTGCTCTGTTGGTGCTGTGTTGTGTTGAATATTTACTGTAATGTCTATTGATACTGAAATCATTAGTCCTTTGAAATATGAGGCACTCACATTTTCTGTGGCTCTCGATGGAAAAAGTATTTGAATGTGCATCTTGCCCAAATCCCCAGTTCTCAGAGTTACTTAGAACTTCCTGGCTGCAGTTTGGACTAAATGTGGTCAGTGAATGAAGCTATAGGTCTAGTCAGAGAAGAAAGGCTCTTAAACTTTAGCGAACTTCGTTACCTTCATTACACTGTAATTTTACAGCACTGCTGCCACCATCAGGTCAAAGGAAGAACTTCACCATACTGGCTGGCAGGTCACTTATAACACACCCTTAAACAGAAGCTGGGGGCCAATTCAAATGTGTCCGCAGGCTGCATTTGGCCCTGGGGCCAGATATTGGACAATCCTGCTGCAAGATGTTCATCCCACCTATAACTACACAGAATCTTGTCACTTTAGACCCACCAGAACAAGTAGTGTTAGATGTTCAAGATGCAGCAATTACAAGAATCAAATTAAAAAAAAAAACAAAAAAAACTGTTTAATTAGATAAATTACTAACAGGACAAAACACAATGTATTAACAAAAACATGGTTTGACAGTATAAGAACCAGCACATTTCCATCTGCATTTTTAACTGTAAACAAATTGGATCGTATGAAAACGTATATACAAAGCAAGCTTTAGAACCCAAATAAACACACAGCAATATAAAACCTCAATCACAATCTAACGTCTAACCGATTTCTACATTTAGTACAGCTGCTCAGCTGTCGCACCACGCCTCGCTGTAATTACTGCTGTTTATGTACAAAAAGAGACTTACAAAGCAAAACTGGGAGTGAGCACATTTAAAATGTGTCAAATATTTCACTTCAGCAACATTCAGCTCTGGAAAAAACACAAACTTCAAAAAGGAGGCATTAAAAATCTGCGTCAGAAGTTACACCCTGTAGTTTTAGTGAAGAGCAACATTATTAAAAGCAAATGAGGAGGAGAAAATTCAGTCTATGTAGATCTGCTTAATCAATCGAGTAACAACCTGGATGGCTAAAAAACACAAGTTATGCTACATTTTGCTCACAGGTACTAAAAGAAAATGTAAAAAATATTCCAACAAGCAAGGAGATGTGTTTTATAGTGGTGGCATGTGTTTTCAGTAAAGTAAAGGCTGCTTTTTAGCCTCACTTACAGAGGCGTGAATTTTGTGAAAACTAATCCGTGCAATTTCAGACTGAATGAGAAGGATTTACACAAATTTTAGTGAGATGTTTCTCAAAGTTTAGGGCAAGAATTAATTTTCAAAATGACAGTTTGGAATTTATTTGAAGTTTTCCCAACTTACGCCACAAACAGTCGATCAGCTAAGACATGTTTGGTGTCTGAAGTTTGCTTCTTGAGTCTCAGCACTATGATGCTAATGTAGCTAACAGGTAGTGGAAGCTTATGGTTACCAATTAGCATGGTGCTAACTGCATACCTGAATCATCACTCTCTCGCCTCAGACTGAGTGGAGGTGTTCAGTGTCTCTAATAGACTTGATTATGTGGTTTCTGACACTGTATGACTCACTGTTATCTACAAACATGGACTAAAGGTACTTTCCGTACATGATAAAACCAAACGTGTCTGGGCTGACTGACTGCATTTGGGGGGTTGGGGGGTGGGGCTCACAGATTTTTTTTATTAGAGGTGTGAAGATGAATAAAAATAGCAGGAACACTAAACAGTATAGAGCTGCAGGACAGGATTAAACAAAATAAAAGTGCACTAACTCTCAGTAAAACAGGTGTTGGGCAAATACAGGTTTTGCAATGACTCCTGTTGTTCTGTGGTGGGTGTACGAACTCCTGGTCAGTAGCGTTTTCCTCTGGATCCTCCCCTCAAACCCAGCGCTCTGGTCACCATCCTCCTGGCCACTGCTGTGTCCGTCCGCGGCCTCTCCTTCACCGGCTGAATGAACTCTGGATGGAAAAACGTGGGTAGAATTATCATATACACCAGCAGTAGGGTATAAAAATGCACCAATTTGAAGGTGGTGATTGAACTGCATTCACATTAAAATCACTGATAGTACAAAAAACATAAATATATAATACATAAAACATTCAGCTACATAACATTCTTGGGCCATTTTCAAATGTACAAAACCAAAATAAGCCTAGTGTATTGGTTTATTGTCTATTCTTCTACTGTGTGAACAGTTCCTCCAGTTACATTTGTGCATTCTGAATCATACCAAAATAAAAGTCATGGTGATGCTAATCCAAACAGTAATAATTAATATCTGTAATTGGATTGTGTAATGTGAAGCTAATTCATTAGCATTAAGTGTAATTATAAAGTTATCATTTATTTATTCACTCTTTTATTAATGTTTTGTGCAATGTGAAACAAAATAATTAGCAATAGTCAAAACACACGCCACACAAGCAAGGAGACTTGTTCTATAGTGTAGGCATGTGTTTTCAGTAAGGTTAAGGCTGCTTTTTAGCTTTACTGAGGCATGAATTTTGTGTAATTAGTACAATTTCAGACTGAAAGAGGAAGATCCATGCTAGCTAATTTTCGTGAGATATTACTTTCCAAAGTGACAGTTTGGTAAATTTATGTATTTGCATAGTTTTTTCCAAATTATAATATAAACTTATATAAACAATAGCCATAATTGGCTTAAAGGAGCCGTTATAAATTGTGTAATATTAAACTGCATGTGCTAAGCAAGCTAGCATACAGGTTTATAATCTGAATAAACACATACAGTACTGTGAATATAGGTCTTTGCCAGTAAAATCACCATATGCAAATATGCAAATACAGTAAAAATGATATCTTATTTTGAAAAAAAAAAGAATAGTTGATGTCTTGTAAGCTAGTCTGAAGAACAAAGTCTGGTTCCAGATTTTTCCTGGATGCCTCCAGCCATCACGTAGATTAATTAAATTCCATCAGCAGCATAAAATTTAAGTTTATGAAGTATCGATTATAAAGCAGGTGTTGGATGATGCCTACAAGTAACACAAGACTTCCTCGAGGAGAGGGGCAGGAAACGGTTAAACAAATGAAGTGATTTACATAACATGACTACTTACTGTATTAATGTTACTTGTATTTGTTCTAGTATTAGTATCTTTTCTGTGCAAAAGTCTAATTTGGCCTGAAACTGTTGCACAGTACTGCATGTGTGCAGCACACACCTGCTCGTCTCATTGCTTTGCCCTTCGCCTTCTTACTACCCTCCGACAGTGTCCTGGTCTTCAGCAGTGGATGTCTGATGGACAGGGCCTGCATCGCTGAGCACAAAAGCAACAACAACTGTTAAATAAAAATTAATAAATAAAAATCCTGCAAAAACTGGTTCTGCAGTTTTCTGAGGGATTGCAAGTGAATTATGTATTAATGCACCAAGTTATTTGAAACGTTGAATGATGAGAAGCAACAATTTGGTTGATTTTTTTTGGACGTCCTATATTTACTTTTACTTGACCATTCAAATGTATTTGGACACCCCTCCTAATTGCTGTGTTCAGGTGTTTAAGCCACACCCATTGCTAACTGGTGTATAAAATCAAGCACATAGCTATGCAGTCTCCCTAGACAAACACTGGCAGTAGAATGGGTCGTACTCAAGAGCTCAGTGACTAAACATGGCACCGTCATAGAATGCCATCTCTGCCACAAGTCAGTTCTTGAAATTTCTGCCCTGCTAGATCTGCCCCGGCCAACTGTAAGTGCTATTACTGTGAAATGGAAACATGTAGGAGCAACAACAGCTTCACCACAAAGCCCAAAGTGTGGGACCATCCATATCTCCATATAAATGCCTATGGATTTGGAATGGGGCGTCCAAAAAAGATCATATAAGTGTGACAGTCAGGTGTCCACACACACTAATATGACCAAAAGTACTGACATGGTGTTGATGTGTTAGTATGTGTTGTGCTGGTGCGAGTGGATCAGACACAGCAGTGCTGCTGGAGTACATACAGTTTTTGTTTCATCTGCATATTGCATGCAAACAGCCACATAGTGATCTGACAGCACTAAACTACACCTGAAAGAGGTTGTGTGAAGTTACCGTTGGTGGATTTTGTCATACTTCATTTTTAATCATACCTGCTGATGCACTTGAAAAAACACCAAGAGCATGTGTGTTATCCACCCACTTTATCTTCATACCACCTTCACTGTAAGCAAAAAAATATAGAATAAGTACCAGTTGAAAAAAATACAGCAGGTTGTGCACCAAATCCACACGAACTCAATTTTAAAGAGGAATTCCACAGATTTTTAAAAAATTCTGTAGATGAAGATGAAGAAACAGAGTTGTTCCGAGTGGTTTGGTGTGAAACGCTCTGTTCTAGAGAAACTTGCCAAGTCAGAATTGTCCACAGTGGTGGTGATGGGAACCAGACATCCACCTCTAAAAGCTCCCTCACAGAAAGTTATTGCATGAAATTGTTATGAATTCAGTGCCTGATGTCTGAGACACTGTTTTACAATAGATTTGAGAACTTAAAATCCATTCACAGTGGAGGGATACATGCAGAGTGTTGTGAGGCAAAATAGTCCCCAAAGAAAACTTATTATATCAGATTTTCCACTATTTTACAATCACCAACATTCCATCTAAACTCAGAAGACACGTGTAGGTTCACTGGTGGTTTTGGATAGTAAATAAAATGTCTATATTTATGTTGTAGTCATGGCGACCCCTGGTTCCTATCACCACCACTGTAAACAGATCTGAACCATTTCACACCAAACCACTCTGAGTCACCCTGTTTACATCTCACACACTGAATTTCAGAAATTTTGAAAAATCAGTGGAATTCTTTAAGATCCAAAGTTCCTCCCCAAAAAATCCACTTTACCAGATTCATATGAACATGCTGGAATTACCTGTAGTCCGCAAATGCGTCCAGTAAGTCGTCTGTTTTGAAAATGGCTGGAAAGTCGTAGATTTCGATGACGTGGGCAAACTCTTCTTGGTTAATCCACACGTTCTCGAAGCTGGAGTAATCATTCTGGGCATTCTCAATCACCACCTCTCCTTCCTTCAGATGGGCTGTAATCTTAGTAAATAGAAAACAGACAAAAATAAGGCACACAAAACAATGACACAATTCCCCAAACAAAAAGGAAACAAACATAATTAAAAACATCATACCACCGTCAACAGGGCCCTGCAACATGAACATGATCTCTTAATGGAAACTTCTGCGACTCAGCTGAAAGCATTTGGCTCGTAGCGCTGTTATTCGGTTTATGATTTCGGATCATAAACAACTCTTGGTCCGATCAGCGCAAGCTTCTGACCAAGCATGGCGTCAAGTATGAGAAAAACATCTCTTCAGTGGAGGAATCAAATGATTCTCCATGTACAAGAAGAATGTAAAGCAGTTGTTACTCCAATAAATGCCAACACAGTGATGTGTTGTTTTTAATTGTCTATATTCCACTACCGTGTAAATATTTAATCCAATTATAACTGTGTATTCAGTACATTTTTATCGAATCCTGTTGACATTTGAGATGTAATGATGAATCTTTAATCATTTCTAAATTATTGGATCTGTGAGAGGTCAGAGATTTAGACTTCAGCTGAGATGAGTTCTTGTGGTTCTTTTGTCAATCTTAATTTCAATACTGGTCTGAATTATGCTCTGTACCTCGGAGTAGAAGTCTTCGCTTTCCTCTTTGTTCTGCGGCTGGCAGGGTGATTCGGTGGGTGTGATATTACTGCAGTCCTCCTCTGCCTGGTCCTCCAGGGTCATTGCCATGAAATAGGAGACAGTCTGGTCCCAGGCTGGAGGCCAGGGGTAGGGCCCTGACCCCGAAACCTGCATAAACACGTCCTGCTCGCCCACCGATTCGTCAGTGCTGTAAAACGCTGGCTCTGGATTGACTGCAGGGGGGTCTGCAGTGTCGGAGCTGGACTCCTCGGAGGCGCTGAGGCAGCAGCTGGAGGAGCTTCTGCTGGGCTCATCAGAACCTGAGCTTTCACATGCCTTCTGCCTCAAAGCCCGAGGGACGTAGATGGCTTTATCTGGCCTTTTAGTCCCTCTGCTGCGAATGGATCTGTGTCCGGCTGGTTGGCTGCTTGATGTTCCCTCCATTCCTCTGTCCCTCCCGCACGGCTGCTCATATAAACTACCGTCTGTGTCACTGCTGTCCTCCCTGGGTGGTAACCTTGCAGAACAGACAGAAGTAAACACATTCATTTTAAAGCCAAACAATAAAATCTGTTGTGTTTGCTTGACACGCCGTATTATCCCCTTCCAATAACCTAATAACTTCTTCACTCCTAAAGTGAAAGTTTGGCAAAAAATTAAACGGCTCATATCATGGAAAACTGAATTTCCCTCAGTTTGATGTAGTATGGAAACAATCGTGAAGTTTCAGAACATACCATTCACTACCCAGTCCCTAACTTCGCTATGAAAACAAGAAGCTCTGACAGATCTTTAAATTTATCCAGACATCCACCTTTAAAAGCTCCCCCACAGAAAGTTATTGAAAAGATGGTTAAGAACACAGTGCCTGTTGTCTGAGACATTATATTACGATAGGTTTAGTCATGGTGAAGGGATACATGCAGAGCAAGGCAAAATATGTATTTTTCCAGATTTTCTACAATTTTACAATCAGAAGTCAGAAGTCACAACTTCAAAGACGTGTAGGTTCACTGGTGGTTTTGGATAGTAATACAATGTCTATATTTGTGTTGTAGACATGGTGACCCCTGGTTCCTATCACCACCACTGATAAGAAATCTGAATCTCTACAAATCAACCATTCCACACCAAACTACTCTGAATTAAATTTTGAGAAGTCAGGGGAATCCTCCTTCAAGCTAATGACTTTTGAAGAAGTTAATTATCTGGAGCAGGTGTGGACGACTGTAATTGGAACTAGACTCTGCAGGAAGGCAGATCTTCAGGATTAGGGTTGGTGACCACTGGACTACATTATGGATGCTACTGTGTTTAGCTATGCAACATTTCTCTCATTTTATAGGTAACAGATTGCAGTTTGAGGCAAGTGTGGTGATTTAGGCATGCAGTTTGCATGACACTAATTGGTTGGGTATAAGTTTCTATTACTTAATAGCTACACTTAACATTGTAGCTCCAGTGCAAAACTAAAAAAGGCAACCTTCAGAAACCAAACATGACTGATCAAATACATTTGAGAGGAAAATGTATAAATTTGGCCAAATCATCTCTTTAAAAAGCTAGAATAACTTTCCGACTGTTTAAAGTTGCTTGCTATACCTTTACCTTAGGTGGGAGTAGCAGATGGCTACCCTGCGGCTCCAGGTTTCCCCAACAGAAAAAGTGCTCAGGTTCGGGTGGTTCTCGGCCGTCTTGTGGATCAGAAAGCGAAGTCGGCTTGGGAGGGGTGGGAAGAGTAGGACGCTTGAATGGAAAACACAGGCAAATACATTCAAATACATTATATATCCAAACGTTTGCAGGCAGCAGCATTTCTTCTGACAGTCCCTGACTGGCTGGATCAGAAGTATTAGTGTTAAGTAAGGGGTGGGGATGCTTACTGGATATAGGTTGGAACTAAACTCTGCAGGAAGATAGCTCTCCAGGACCAGGACTGGAGAAATTGTGTGTGGCTGCTCCAGAAGAACAGTAGGATATGGACCCTTTAAATTTATCCACCTCCTATTCTATTAGTCAGTGCTTTTCTATGGAACTGTGTCAGCAATAAGTGACCTTAAAGTAGCTGAACTAATTACGTACTTTTGGGCATACAGTGTACTGATCTGATAATTATAGTGGCCTAAATCGGCCACATTTGACACATCCCAACTCAGACACCAGCCTCGTCAACGTTGTACCTTTTCTGATCATCTCTCTGCTGAAAGGCGTCCAGCTCCTCAAGGACTTTATGAACAAACTGATTTTCCTGCTTGGGGAGGTAGCAGCCATCGTAGCAGGGATCCGCCAGGGTGATGAGATGATGAGCTAGAGGCACAAATGTAACATAAATACAATAACAAAATAAGTAAATAAAAGCTGAGTGCAATAATACATCAACAATCCACATTTAAGAGAGGCAAGATGAAACTTATATCTGCACCTTTAAAAATATGGTTCCTCAAGGGTTTAGTAAAGACACTGGTTCTATGCAGAACCATGAACACTAAAAGAACTATTTGCATGCTTAAAGGGTTCTTTGCATTGTAAAATTGTTCTTCAGATTGATGAGGAATGTGTTGAATATGGTTCTAAATAGAACTTGTTTTTGAAAATAGTTATATATATAACATCAAAAGGGGTTCTTCTATAGTATTCAGCTTGACAGGGTAACAACTGCAGAACCCTTTTTATTTGCCTTATTGAACCATATACAGCACGTTCTCCATCTGCAAATGCACTGTCTAGTTTGTTAAAAGCTGTTGTTGTCCGCGTATTAAATTATTATTTTCAGGATTATCGGTGTCTGTCAGACATAAGTTAACAAAAGAACAAAGTTTCTGCTACGAGGCTGAATTTGGCTTCCTTTTTCCCCACAACTTCTTATTCGTTGTCCGTTCCACCTTAAATGCTGCAGCACTTACATCGTAGCGCGTCAGCGGCGCCAGTGTAACTGCTGTAGTATTTAAGGTGGAACGGACAATTCGACAAAGAAGCCAACTCCAGCTCCGTGTTTCTGCTTCTAATAAGCTTAAACTAAGCTAACAGGTCAGGAATTAAATCAGCACAGCTGTGACATGTAACCTAAAACAACAACAGGCAAATGTAGACAACACAGCAGAGATAAATGACAATTAAATAAAGTATTTCAGAAACATCAGTCACCACAACGTTTAGCTAGCAGAGCTAACTTAGCTTAGCATGCCAATCTGATTTCAAGGAAAACGCCCCCCACAATTTTGCAGTTTTGTAACAATTCTTGGAGTGACATCGTCCCCATACCTCAAACAGAGAGCGCCAAAAACACGTAGCACCTAAAACTGGATTCAAATTGATAGAACCAACTAAAAAACACTCGCTATTCACTTTATTTCAAGCAGCATTTAATTCTAACGTAAACGCTAAGGGTGAGCAGTGACAGTGATTATAGCGGAGCCCAGCGGTTGGAGGTGGAAGCGCAACCAAGTTCAGATCACTGCTTTACACGTACAACGTACGGAAGGCCATTCCCATCAGTCAGTCAGTCAACCTATCAATCAGTCTATAAATCAATCAATCAATTCTTCAGTGAATTGGTATGGCACTATTTTGAGATACTAAGTCGTTATTTTGAAATTATATTATTTTGAAATACTAAGTCGTTATTTTGAAATAATATTATTTTGAGATTTTCTCATTGAGATACTTTTTTGAGTTGCTTTCTCATTGTTTTCAGAATTTTTGAGATGCTTTCTCATTATTAAATAAATTCTTATTTATATGTAAATGTTTATTTATTACCTGTCCAGGCTGTATCCTGCCTTCCACCCAATGACAGCTGGGATAGGCTCCAGCACCCCACCACAACCCAGAAGGATAAGCGGTTTAGATGATGTGTGTGTGTGTATTTATTTTTATTTTCATCTCAAAATGACAAATTTCTCAGAATAATGAGAATGTTCCTAAAAATAATGAGAAAGCACCTCAAAATAATGAGAGTACCTCAAAACAATGGCATAGCAGTTCACTTAATAATTAAAAAAAATGCTGGATTTTTTTTTAATTTAAAGTAGTGGGAATGGGCTTCCATAAAACAATGAGAGGCAACAGAAGAAAATTAGCAATAATAAAATAAAAGACATAGAGAGGCTCTGGGAATCTATAGGATTACTAATAAATCAAGCCTTATAGATGCCCTGTGTGTCTTTTATAGTAATACAAACAGTAGTCTCATCAATGCCTGGGATACGGCTACTAATTTCCTTACATCTCAGTATTTTTCGATTTTTTTAAATAAGCACAACACAACAAGCTGAAGGAAAAGTTAATTTATTACGATACATATTTTTAAATAAATGTGTTCAGAGATTTTCAAGAAAAGACAGCAATGGTTTATTTTAATACAACAGAAAATACAAACGACACTCTCCAAATCCAATAAGATGCAACTCTGTGTGGAACTGTTGCCTTAAAAGTTTTCATGGTCAGTACTGATGCAATTAGGGCACAATAAGATAAGGGGACAGCAGATTAATCAGTCATTCTTACAGCTCCACGACACCCAACGTTAGGTCTGCACACAGGCCAAGTGCATCCGGATGAAGACTTTGAAGTGAGAGTCACTATTTATAGTGTAACCGAGTCTGAGACAACTCAATCTGCCCTGTAGTGTTTTAACTGAGCACAGGGGATGATGTCACATACTGAAAACGGTCACATGATCTGAGGAAAGTCACCGTGGAATGGATTGATCATCACTGATCAGCTTTTATGGTATTAAAATGCACATTATATCAAAATCCTTAACACACTTCAATATTCAACTGAAACGTCATCATCAGAATGTCAATTTTGCCGAATACGGTGCCGACAACAATCCGAGACCGAGATTTTCACTACGTGGACACCGAACACTGCGGCCATGTGGTGAATCAACACTGTACACTTTACCTACGGCTCATTCAAAGACAAGTATATACAGAAAACAAAGAGGTCAAAGGCTTCAAAAGAAAGAAACAATTTCAAAAAGGAGCAATATAAAATACATGGCACAATATAATAGCTTTTAAAATGATCTCGATTAAGTAAGACAGTATACATACAAAACCTGACGGCTTATAAATGAACAAGCACTGCTTCAGACAAGAACGCGTTATACCTGTGAGAAAAACAAATGAAAGAATAGAGGAAGAATCTGTAGAAACAAAGAAGAAGCGTCTACGTTCAGATGCAGACAGGCAGGACGATGAGGGCACGATAAAGGGACCCGGTTCTCAATCCAGCAGGCCAGTGATTAATGTGTCCGATACATTCTTCTGAAAGGAAACGCAAATGTTATTAGATTACATACAGTTCAAACACTCACGGCCACTTTATCAGAAACACCTTGTAGCTCCGCCTTGCTGGTGTGCAGTTACAGACTGTACTTCATCAGCTCATGTACACCTTCACCAATAGTCAGTCATACCTGGACAACAGCGGTCATGTGGTCAGAAAATGACCAATGAGGTAGAAGGGGGCTGATAAACTGTGCAGTTATATAGTGGATTTATAAGTGAGTGGAAGCACAAGATGGGTGTTTCTAATAAAGCGGCCACTTAGTCGAAGTACAAAGCGGGCATTTCTAATAAAGTAGTCAGTTAGTGGAAGTACAAGATAGGTGTTTCTAATAAAGTGGCCAATTAGTAGAAGATGGGTGTTTCTAATAAAGTGGCCAGTGAGTGAAAGTACAAGACGGTGTTTCTAATAAAGCGGCCAGTTAGTCGAAGTACAAGATGGGTGGTACATAAGGTAGGTGTTTCTAACAAAGTGGCCAGTGACTTCTGATCTCTGGGTCAATGTTTACCTTTGGTATGTTTTATCTTGATCCAATGCTTCTGTCCTCAAAAATGGTTATCTCCACCTTAAGAAGACTGGGTTAAAGGAAACTCCTTATAAGACTATCACTTCCTCTATTAGAGGGTAGTATCGATATGAAACACACACGTCCACTGTCTGTCCGTTCATGGATATCAAATGTAAAATAATTTACTTTAAATCTTACATAATACTTATCAAACTCAGGATACTGTTAATTTTGTACTCAACTGTAAAGGAATGGACTGATATGGAATTTCTGGGCCAACAGAAGTAACTGATAACCCCTTGTTTTGACCAAAGCAGATACCAATAGCTAATAATTTTACTTTCTTTTACATTTATTTATAGTTCACACTATAATTCATCTATGAAGTTCAAGTTTAAAACATTGGAGATGATGGCTTCTAAAGATCTCTAGGCTACAAAGAAAAAGTTTAAATATAAATATCCCCTCACGGTACCTCAGCTGAACATTTGTTTCAAACTGCACTTCTGATCTCCTGTGTTGAAACTGAATAAATCTTCCACACCATTCATATATAAATCGGCCGGATCGCTCCATGTGGTCAAAAATGGGGTAGTAAGTTACTGGTTGCAATTATCAATATTAAATTAAATGGGAAAATTACAATCTCCCATTTATCTGCGAATAACATTTATATATCAGACACTCCTACAAATATACTCTTGAGGAAGCCTCATCCATTTTTTTAAGGCCTTCCCAAATCCACCTTTCAATCATTTCCAAGAACACTGCGTCAACCTGCGCTGTTCTGCTCAGATAGCCGTTCTGAATTTGAAAGGGGACTCTGTCTGTCAGAAAAGGATACCACTCGAAGGCCTCTCTCGATGGGGTCGGTGAGAAGGAGACCTAGAGGAGCGTACACCTTCTCATTTTGCTCCTGGATGTACTTGGCAATCTTTTTCAGCACCTAATTGATGAAGACATGAAAAAAACAACAGTGGTCGGTTAAAGGGAATGCAATCACAGTAAAGTCAAAGCTTTCCACACAGGCTTCCTCATTTCAGTCTGAAGCAATCATCCACCAATTATCTGCAGCTGTAATAATACCAGGATATCTCACTGGGATCAAAAGTCCAAGGAAGTCTGCCATTATTATTCCACCAGGTTTTTATCAGGCATAACATATCTGCACCTTAAGGAAGTTACACAGTTAGTTAAAGATATTTATAAGGAATTTTTAAAGAGGCCAACAAACAGAATAAATTGCAAGCTGCTATGGTATTTTTATTGTACTATATAGTGCTGGGACACGGTATTAGATGACATTCAAGTTCTCATTAATAAAGTTAATGAGCCCAAGCTTCGGTTGTGCTGCTTAAAAGAATGTATTACAAACCTGGCAGAGCTGGTTTAGCTCTTAAACTTGCATCCAAGAGAATTTAAGTGTTGTAAATGTTAACCAGACACAAACTACATTTCCTGAATGGAAATTTCCTGTTTATTTAAAACAATCTGAATATCAAAAATTGCAAGCGTGTGTTATATCATACATATAGCTATACTGTGATATTGACATACCTTGTCATTACGTTATAGTTTTGTTTGGGTATTTTTTAGCCATATATTTGATAGACAGTAAGCATTATACAACACTGACATTATGCTAACCAAACAGTGGTGTCCATTTTGCACGTAAAAGGGTAATTCCACCAATTTTTTACATTTTTGCATAATTCAGTCATTGCGATCTAAACAAATTAATTCAGAATGGTTTAACGTTAAATGGTTTGTTGCAGAGAAAATTACAGACTCAGATTTCTTTACAGTGGTGGTGATAGGAACCAGGGGTCACCATGACTACAACACAAATACAGACATTTTATTTACTATCCAAAACCACCAGTGAACCTACACGAGTCTGAGTTTAATATGGAATGTTGATGATGGGAAAATAGTGGAAAATCTACAACCCCAATTCCAAAAAGGTTTGGACACTGTAAAATAAATGTAAATAAAAACAGAATGCAATGATTTGCAAATCTCATAGACCCATATTTTATTCATAATAGAACACACAACACATCAGATGTTGAAAGTGAGACATTTTACCATTGCATAAAAATAACTCATTTAGAACTTGATGGCAGCAACGCATCTCAAAAAAAGTTGGGACAGGGAGGGGCAACAAAAGGCTGGAAAAGTAAGTGGTACTAATAATAACCACAACAACTGGAGGAGCAATTCGCAACTAACTCACATGACTGGGTATAAAAAGAGCATTTTAGAGAGGCAGAGTTTCTAAGAGGCAAACATGAGCTCACCCAACTGCGAAAAACTGCATCTAAAAATAGTGGAACAATTTCAGAAAAATGTTCCTCAACGCAAAATTGCAAATACTTTGGATATCCCACCATCTGCAGTATCATCAAAAGATTTAGAGAAATCTATTTATGGAGAAATCCCTGTTAACCAGACACAAACCAGGGACAAGGACGATGGTCTATATTGGATGTTTGTGATCTTTGGGCCCTCAGGCAGCACTGCATTGAAAACAGGTATGATTCTGTGCTGGAAATCACTGCATGTGCTCAGGAACACTTCCAGAAATCAATGTCTGTGAACACAGTTCACCAATCCACAAAAGTTAAAGCTGTATCATGCAAAGAAGAAACCATATGTCAACATGATCCAGAAACACCACCATCTTCTCTGGGCCCAAGCTCATTAAAGTTTGAAAAAAAATTTGAAATGCTTTTTGGAATTAATGGGCACTGCATCCTCCAGACTAAAGACCACCCAGCTTGTTATTAGCACACAGTTTAAAAGCCAGCATCCATGATGGTATGGGGGAGCATTAGTGCACATGGCAGGAGTGTCTTGCACATCTGTAAAGGCACCATTAATGCTGAACGAAATATACAGATTTTGGCAAAATATGCTGCCATCCAGACAGCTAAACCACATACTGCATCCATCACAACAGCATGGCTTTGCAGAAGAAGGGTCCGGGTGCCGGGTTTAGGCCAAAACATGGTAAAACAATGTCTCAGACATCAAGCAGTGTATTCACGTGTTACAGTGAGGCGTAAAGGTGTGATACCAGTGATAAAACCCCTGTAAAGCACAGACTCTTGTGGCTTTTTATTTCATTAAAAAAAACAACAAAATTATGCAGTGGAATGGTGTCACTGATAATATACTTGTTATCTATCAATACTTTTGAAATTCAAACTCAATATCACAGTGTGGCACCAACACCTGCACAGACACTGGCCTTTTTTTTCCCCCATCACACGGTCAAATCTGTTCAGAAATTGAGCGCACGCACATTTCACCAACAGTTTCGTTATTCATCATCAATTTCATCTGTACGATCAAACTTGCATCTGATAAAAGTCCATGTAGGTCAATCAACTATCAACATCATCTACAGTACCAATAATAAGAATGAAAATTTTAGCACTATAAAGTTTGGTCAGTAAGGGGAGCAGCGCACTCACTGCTCCACCTCAGACTCTGCCTACAAGCCCAGCCATTGGCTCACAAGTCACTGAATGCTGTACTAATAGTGGCGAACCATCTGCATGAATTAGTGTGTGCTTCATGTAAATGATATGTAAATAAGGTGCTGGTAGGCTGGTGCTTGATTTCATGCACTGAAGCAGACTGCACTCACATCTTCACTCATTTCTAGATCACAAGAAAGTTTCATCAATCAGACACAGATGTGGTTATATCTGCACTCTTTTTTTTCCCCACACAACTGATAAATAAGGGTCAATTTAGCATCCCACACTAATAGGACAGTATAACAGATACAAGCTTACTTTTTCATAGTGAGTCTCCATGCAAAGAAAGATGGTATAAGCAGTGAGGCAAGCCAGGCAGCCCTCCAAATACGACTTGCCCCCCAGCTTCTCCGCCTCAGCATACAGGTTATTCAGTGTCTGTATCGTCTCCTCAAACTGCTGCTTTTCAATCTGTAATAATAAAACAAATACAACATATTTTAAAGCGGGCCATATTATGCTGCTAATTGTATTTTTGGGCTTTACTACAATAGATTTACAGCTTCAATCTTCCAAACACACATTATTTTCCTCCTGTTCATCTCTACTGACCCTCTATCTGAAACGCTCTATTAGAGCCCCTGTGTCTTTAAGCCACGCCTCCCCATGAGCCCAGCGTGCTGTGATTGGTCAGCTCGCCCACTCTTTTCTGAGAAAAGTGGTTTCTGTGGGAGAGAGTTTCTCCCTTTGGGGTGAACTTTGAGACTTTGCAGAACGTTTACATGCACAAAAAGCTACAACACACTAAAGGAAAGAGGGAAAACTGGAAAAGAATAATAGGTCACCTTTAAAACTCTTTTTAAATAGAAAACATATTCAAGATAAGTGATTCAACATGTAAAATCTGTATCTGACAGCTTTTTTGGAGATATTGCTCAACCAGGTCAGAGAAGAAGAAGAAAATCTTGAAGAAAAAAAAAAAAATCACAATTTTATTTCAGTGTCTTCTCCTTTATTAAACACAACAAATCTAGGTCAAAATGTACCATTTCTGATCGGTGGCTTTGCTAAAATAAAGCGTACGAATGATCTCACCCTGGCCTCCAGCTCAGTTGGAAACTTGGTCTGGAACTTGCAAATGGTGCCAGAAGTGTAGTCCCGCTGGACGAACACCTTGGAGGCAATGGCTGCTTGCTGCCGCAGGTCCTGCAGGCTGTGCGTCTGTTTAAGAGCATCAGTCATGGATTAAAACTCATAATACATTCAAATATTAGCTGTTTTTAATGCAGATATCTTCTGACAGTTCTGTAAACGTTCCACCAGTATTCCATAAATTACAAGAACCTAAATGAGCTCCTGAATAAGACAAACTTTAGGTTCTTCAAAAGTCCTTCAGCAAAGAAAATGGTTTTATATAGAACGATGAACACTCAAAGAACCCTTTGCATGATTAAAGCGTTCTTTGCATGGTGAAATGGTTCTTCAGATTGATGGAGGATGTGTTGTATATGGATCTATATAGAACCTTTTTGAAAAGGGTTCCAAAAAGGATTTTATTATTGTTACAGGCTTGACATTGTAACAATAGCAGAACTCTTTTGGGTTCTATATAGAAGCATATACAACACATTTTCCATCACTCTGAAGAATCATTTCATGATCCAAAGAACTTTAATCATGCAAAGGGTTCTTTAAATGTTCATAAAACTATTTCCTTTACTCAGAAACCCTTGAAGAACCATCTTTTTTAAGAGTGCAGGATTAACACATTAAGTCTGTAAAGTAACCACTGTGGTTGCATTTAAATAAGTTTTAGAATCAGAATCACTTTATTTCACCAAGTATGTTACACTTAAAGAAATTAGTCTTGGTGAGTCACATAGTGAACAGACCAGACAAGCACACAGACTGTTAACAGATATTTCTCTAAAGAACAAATAAAATAAAAACAGAATAAAGAACAACAAAGAGTAATAATTGGAGGTTTATGAAAGTTATTCAGTGATAACAGGGAACTAATTCTGTATAAGTGAATTTAAAGAAAATATTTGGGTTGATGTGTGTTACATGTTGTCAGCTTATATGTGAGTAACAGCACTGCTGACCACTGTTTTACTCAAATTAAATCACCTCATCCCAAACTACAAGACATTAAACATCTGTAAACCTAAATGTGAATGTTTTCTAGAAGAAATCCATTTCTGTGTAGTACAGGCCCGTCGCTTAAATAACTCCACCAATATTTATGCAAAATTCAATGGTTGAGATGTAAACAATGTCATTCAGACAGATACAATACAAATATAGCCTGTATTATTAAATAAAATGCCTACATTTGCGTTGTAGTCATGGGGACCCCTGGTACCCATCACCACCACTGTAAAGAAATCTGAACTGTTTCACACCAAACCACTCTGAATCACTCTGTTTACATCTCACACACTGAATTATGTACACACACACACACACAAAAAAGTTCCACTTTAAGCCACGGCTGCAAAAAGAGAGAGCTGTTTTACTTTTAACTGGAGAACAGGGTTTGGTTCTTGTGTTCATCCAGACAGAAGCAGAACACACAGCTGTTTGCGTCATACGTGTTCATAGAGATTAATTGTTTCTCACACAATATATAGTACTGTTTCAATAAGAAAGAAAAAATATGTTGGCATTAATGAAGAATGAAAATTCACCAATCAGCCAGAAGAATGAAAATACACCAATCAGCCAGAACAATAAGTCCACCTCCTTGTTTCTGTACTCACTGACTATCTGATTAGCTCCACTGTCCATATAGAAGCACTTTGCAGTTCTACAGTTACAGACTGTAGTCCATCTGTTTCTCTGAATACTTTGTTACCCTGTTCTTCAATGATCAGGACCCCCACAGAGCAGGCATTATTTGGGCGGTGGGTCATTCTCAGCCCTGCAGTGACACTGAGGTGGTGGTGGCGTGTTAGTGTGTGTTGCGCTGGTGCGAGTGGATCAGACACTGAGTTTTTAAACATCTCAGAGTCGCTGCTGAACTGAGAACCAAGAACATCCAGCCAACAGCGTCATGTGTTGTGACCACTGATGAAGGACTAAAGGATGATCAACACAAACTGTGCAGCAGCATCTCTGACTTTACATCTACAAGGTGGACCAACAAGGTAGGAGTGTCTAATAGAGTGGACAGTGAGTGGGCACAGTGTTTAAAAATCCAGAACAGGATAACAAAGTATGCAAAGAAACAGATGGACTACAGTCTGTAACTGCAGAACTACTAAAGTGCTCCTACATGGTCAATGAGGCTGATAAAATGGACAATGAGTGTAAATACAAGGTGCTGGTTTTCATGTTACAGCTGATCGGTGTACACAGGAAATGCCTTAAGAGGTTTTATTTCACAGCAGCACTCTTTAGTTTAGGCCTACATGTTTACAAAGCTTGTAGAAAAAAAGTTAAATAGATTAGAGACTTTAATCAACTCTAAAAATCTTAAACGGAACCTCACTAGACTGTGTTAAACAACCAGCCAATCATAAAACACTTATAAGATGACTTTTAAACGAGGCTTAAGTTGGTTTCCGATTTGAATTTTCTCGTTCCACCTTAAATGGCGCTGCAATCACATTCTGTTGCGTTCTGAATGTAGCTAACGTTAACTGCTGCTCCATTTAAGGTGGAACGAGAAAATTCGAACAAAAAGCTAGTAGCTAAGAAGCTGACATCTGCTTCATCACTTTTAACAGACCATCAAAAACGAGAACAGTATAAATAACCATCTAAATAAGCCGCAGTGTTTGATATTTTAATATAAACGTGCTGCTGTATTAAAAATCACAACGTTGTTATGCTAACACAGTTAGCCTGCAAGCTAACGGCAGAGCGACTGTTTGCTACCGAATATAAGACTAAATCCGTTGTGAATTCGGACACTGTCCGCACTCACGGGTGGTTCTAAACATCTACTGCTGTTTTTAACGCTGATAACACAGAACATCTCATTTAACTTGACATTATTTATCTTCACAAACCTCCGCCATGGCCGCTGCTCCGTTTCCGCCCCGATCCTCTGTCCCGCCTGTTAAAGGGTCCGGGAGAACCTGGATGCTTTCCTTCTTGTTGTCTAAGTTCCACCCTTCACACCCAATTAGAGGGCTGGGTTCCACTCGGTCAAGTCAATCTACGCTTAGGGAGATCGTATTAGTGTTGTAGAACGCTTAGGTAGTGCGTACTAGAGTGCTAGAACGTTTAGGTAGTGCATACTTGAGATTTAGAACACGTAGGTAACGCATACTTCAGTTGAAGAATACTTTGTTTGAACGTATTCGTGTTCTAGGATGCTTAGCTAGATAGGTCGTGTTCTAAAACGCTTAGGTACCGTGTACTTAAGAGCTAGAACGTTAAGGTAGTACATACTTGTGTTCTAGAACGCTTAGGCAGTGCGTAATAGAGTGCTAGAACGTTTAGGTTAAATGTATTTGTGTTCTAGAATGCTTAGGTAGATCATATTTGTGTTCTAGAACGCTTAGGTAGGTAGAATTTGTGTTTTAGAACACTGAAGTAGATCATGTTAGTGTTATAGAATGCTTGGGTAGTGCATACTTGAGTTGTAGAACGCTTAAAACGTTTAAAAACGCCATCAGCACAGCTGTGTCTGATCCACTCGCACCAGTGCAACACACACTAACACACCACCCAAATAATACCTGCTCTGTGGGTCCTGTGAGGGTCCTGACCATTGAAGAACAGGGTAACAAAGTATGCAGAGAATTAGATGGACTACAGTCTGTAACTGAGTATACATTTACATATATGCACACACACACATTTAAAAAAAAGATTGGCTAAAATATGAGAAATAAACATTGAATCTGAAGAAAATTATTTCAAACTAGTGAAATTATCTGCCCATCTAGCAAGATATTTTTATTTGACAGAAAGTCTTAAAATAAGTTCCAGTCTAGAAATAAGTAGCTTTAAAAAGAGTTCAAAGGTCTAAAATAAGTAGAAAATGTTGCTTTTTAGATCAAACATCTTGAGATCAGACTCACTACAGCTCAGTAATAAGTCAAATACACTGAATATTAGTGAATAATTCTTAATTAGTTTTTTTCTTTCTTAATTTAAGCAGACTGAGAAAATGAAGGCAATGAAGAGGAAAATAAATCAGACATTTAGTGTAAATGACTAAACACTAGTGGAGGAAGAATCTGCTGTTACTGAAGCAAGTCTGATGTTGAAACAGGTCTAAACTATCACAACCAGCACTGAGAGAGAGGGAGGGAGAGAGAGAGGGAAAGACAGACAGAGAGAGAGAGAAAAGGAGAGAGAAAGAAAGGAGTGAGAGAGAGAGAGAGAGAGAGAGAGAGAGACATTGGACCACTGATGAACATAAAGGGTTCTACTATTTGAACATCAGAGAGAAGAATATTCCCAAATGAAATAAAACTAAACCCAGTAACAGAGAGTGAAGAACCTCAGCAGAGGAACCTGAAAAGAAACTGGACAGGATTTTTAAATGAAGCAGCTGAACTCGAGTTTGTGCCACTGAAGCTTTAAACAGGTTGTTTTTAGTGAGAGAGAGAACGGAAAAAACTAGTACTCTAATGCAGCTCATTTTAGCAGAGATCAATTAAATTAAAGATCATTAATCTTATATTTTCAGATCTAAGATTTAAAATCTTGGCACAGAAGAGGTGCAGTGCAGTATTTACCACTGTGGTGCAGATTTACACACTGCAAAAAGTGAAATCAAATCTATCTACATATATCTAATATTTCTCATGTTGAGAGTGTTGTGAGCTTATTAAAGATTAAAGAACTCATTTCTAGATGTTTTAACTCCCATGTGTCAAACACAATGTGCCCGCGGGTCAAGTCAGGCCCGTGATACAGTCCTAGGCGGCCCACAAAATTATTTGAATTTGTTGTTATAATTAGCCCGTTTCACCCTGAGATGCAATACAGTCCCCAGCATGCACTGCAACATAGTATGCGTTCTGACCCCCAACAACAATCTGTGGGCCCGCGGTTACACAAAAAAGGAAAGATGCCTGCTGTCTAGTTAAAGCAAATAGGCAGTTTTTAAAAACTACCTAAAACAATTTATTTTTTATTTAGAATTATTTTTGAATAGGTATTTAATGGCTATTTTGATGTTGCAGTTTTGGCATATTTTGAATAAATAATGGCCTGTTAGGGTCATGGCAAAATGTTACGTAAAATGAAATAAAAACACAGCTGGCCCACAGATTTGCTGAGATTTTTTAATATGGCCCTTTTAGTGGTTGAGTTTGACACCCCTGTTTTAACTTGTTTGAGTAAATGTATCAAGTAACATTAGCTCAGATCATTTAGCTTATTTTAAGAAATTTGCTTGAGATCAACAAATATATTTGCCAATATAGTGAGATCAGTTTACTTGATAAAATGACTTAAAACAGCACAATCTCAACATGAGAAAATGATTAGATTTAAAATCATTTTACTTACCAAGATAAGATTTTACAAAGATTATCCAAAATCAAAACAATAATTTGGCTGATTATCAATTATCAGTTGGTTATAAAGAGGCCTTGTTCAGTGCAGAACAGAAAATCTGCTAAATTTTATGTTGATTTTTCAGCTCACTCTTTCTTCTCATTGAGAACCTCTCTCCCCTTTGCCTCAGATCAGCTCCAGCCAGTCAGATCTCCTCCAGCCACAATGACTCGTCCTTCTCCTGCAGCCAGATGTCCTTAAATGACTGTCAGTAGGCGCTGAGCAGTGAGGGAGAGCAGTCCTGAGGTGAAGCTCCTCTTGTATTACAGCTGTTAGGTAGTATAACTATGATTTAATGGATCTTTTGTTGAGGTGAGATTCAGAGTTGGGATAATTTACAGTTAAACGTTTCCTGCGGGACACGTGCAGGTTACATTTAATGTCTTACAAAAGCTGTAACTCACTGCCTTTTCATGCTGATCCACTCTGATCTTCAGACGCTCTTGGAACCTGGATTATAGATATGAAATGTGCCAGCGCCTCTGTTTAAAATTCGATTTGACTGTGATTGTCTAAAGCCAAATCTGTAAAATATTTTGGACCATGTGTGTAACATGCTACACTTAATGATTCTTCAGAGGTTCCTCAGGTAAGGGAATGGTTCTCTTTGGAACCATGAGTTCTATATAGGACCATTTCCTGCTTAAATAGTTGTTTGCATGGTAAAATGGTTCTTCAGATTGATGGAGAAACTGTTGTATATGGTTCTCAAACTTTTTTAACAGAGTCAGTTGCCACAGACCAGGCAACCTCAGTATCGGCCTTTGCTCGGTTCAGTCTGGCAGCGGCCGCTTCAGAACCAGGACATCCATCTTCACTGCTGTATGGAAGGGAGAGGCCATGAGTTGTTGCTGTAATTTTCTGGATTGTTATCTCGGAATAACAAGTTAATTATCTTGTGATCTTAAGATAGCAAGTTAATTATCTTGAGAAAACAAGGTAACTAACACATTATTGCAAGATAATTAACTTGTTATCTCAAGATTATCTTGCTAACAAGATAACTTTATCTTGCTATCACAAGATAATTAACTCTATCTCAAGAAAACAAGTTTTGTTATGTCAAGATAACAAGGTGACTAACTCATTATTGCAAGATAACTTTGTCTTGTGATAACAAGATAACTTATTTTCTCAAGATAACTTTGTTATCTTGCTATCACAAGATAATTAATGTGTTATCTCAAGACAACAAGATAACTAACTCGTTATCGCAAGATAACTTTATTATCTTGTGACAGCAAGATAATTAACTTGTTATCTCAAGATAACTTTGTTAACTTGGTAACAAGATAGCTGTGTTATCTTGAGATCACAGGATAATTAACTCATTATTTCAACATAACATGTTTTGTTATCTCGAGATAAGATCATTACTTCAAGATAAAAAAATATCTTGAGATCACAAGATAATTAACCAGTTATCTCAAGATAACATCTTTGTATCTCAAGATAACAAGATAACTAACCAGTTATCACAAGATAACACATTTGTTATCTCGAGATAACAAGATAACTCATTATATCAAGATGACAATTTTGTTATCTTGAGATCACAAGATAATTAACTTGTTATCTCAAGAAAACAATCCAGAAAATTACAACTACCTTATGGCCTCTCTGAACTTCTGTACTGCTGTCAGAGAAGCCATTCTTGTTTTCTTTTGACTGGGTTTCACATTAAGTATTGAAATATCTCAGAGCAGAAACAGAGCTGGTTATGAGGGCAGGTCTAAGAGCAGTGAGCAGGGAAGCTGTCATTTCCCAGAGATGCTTCACCGGAGGGCACTGCCAGAAAACATGAGCAAATGTTCTAAGAACATCTGAAGAGCATTCAAAGTTTATCAGTGGAAAGTTTCATTTGGAATGCCCAGTAAGCGGCTACATAAAATCTGTGTGCAAATTTATAGCGTATCAGCTGAAGAACAAAATTTTTAGATGAAGAGAATAATCAAATTCCAATCCAGCTCTAAATCATCATCTGGCGCTAAGTCACAGGTCCAAATCTTTTGTACCCCAAGCACATGCAGAGTGTTAGAAATGGGTCATAAATAGTAGATATCAAGCCCAGGATATGGTTGTAACTTGGAAGAAGCTAAGCAAAGAATGTGTTTGTAGAGGAATAACCCATGGAACTCTGTATGTCCGCAGTGGTGCACAAAGCCTAAGGTATAAGAAATAGGAGAAGCCTGGTATGGAATGGGATTCTTTTATATCATTGAATTGCTTGAGGCCTTTATCATCAAAAATATCTCCAAAAGTAAATATAGGCCTTGGTGAGTTTTTATGACATTTGAGTGTAATACTGAGCTTTTTATTAGCCTGCGTCCAAATATCCAAAGAATTACTGATGACCTTACCTATATTTAGCCTAGCTGTTTTCTGCTTCATGCCAGCAGAGGGTATATTTTCAAGTCATAGTGGTTTGACAGTTCTACTTTCCAGGTGACGCCATGATGTTTTAGAAGTAGAGTCGAACCACTTTCTTAACGGTACCAACTGAAAAGACAGATAGTATAATCTAAAATTAGGAAAGGCCAACACACCTGATGTTTTAGGTCAGTTTGTTTCCATTTTAAACCTTTTTTAGGAAGTGTCTGATCAGG